TCTTCTCTAGCACTTCCTTCCTCATCGCTGCTGCTTCCTCCAGCTTGCCTTGATCGCCCAGCGTGCTGGCAAGGTTGCTCATTGCTGAGATAGTTTGTTGATTGCTGTCGCCCCACATTTTAAGCGTCTCAGAGTACACGAAATCTTGTATGCTATACGCCTTTACCCAATGCCCCGCATTGTACAGGAAGTTGCCACTTGTACTAAAGAGTCTAACAGCAACTTCTCTATCTGAGTCTTCTAGATTTGCCTTGGAAACCGCCTTAAAATTAGCCATAATGTGTGGCACAAGTCGCTGCCGCGCTTCAGGCTTGTGGCCGGCTTTTGATATTGCGTTGAACAAGAGGCGCAATGACGGAAGCACGAAGCTGCGCTGGTCGTCTATAAGAAGTCTGTCAAGCGCCCAAGCGTGTACGAGCTTGTGCATAGTGTAGCTCTGGTCCGATTTCCACTGAAGAAGGCCATACGACTGCAGGATCTCAAAGTTATTTTCTATGGTATGCACGTCGGGTTTCGCTCCTTCAAATATTCTGTCATACCATGCAACCACTGCTCCATTCTCTCCATTCTGCTCGTAGCCATTGCCTTGGCTCGTAGGTACAAAGAGGTCAATGAATATGTCGTCAAAGTTAATAAACCCTAGTAGGGTCAGAAGTTTTGATGTCTGAATACACTTCTGGGTGACTGCATCAAACGTTGTCTCCCATGTGGTAAGAACACTCTCTCCGTACTGGTGGACGAGCGAGTTAGGCTTCCGAGCAAGTATCTCTTTTCGTCGCGTTTGGTATTCATCGAGGTATTTTCCCAGATGCAGCTTCAGCCGTGGAGTATTACATACGTATGTCCCAGATAGGCTGACTGCGAGCGCGAAGTAGCCAAGTTCCTCCACGATTTCTTTAACCGCAGCCTCATTACCGCCTTTATCATCTATCTTTGAGCAGTTTTTGAACAGTTTCGCCGCCTCCCTTGGTTTCATTTCGGCTACCTTCACCATTTCTAGTGCCGTCAGTCCTTCGGCACTTGAGCTTCGGGTGGTAAGGATGACATCAATGGATGGTTTATCTGGGATAAAGTGCCGAATATCGACGAAATCATCTGCCTCTTCATTTGCATCCATACTATCGATGCCATCTGCGCCATCGAAAACAAATAGCCACCTGCCTTCTCGCTCAATGAACCAGTTTTTAACTGCCAACACTGCATCTTCACTCTTCAGGTCCCCGTCCGTAGTTACTTTGAACAGTAAGTGGTAGATTTCCCGGAAGGCACGCTCAATAGTTTCTTTCCGACATGCTTCAATCCAGAAGCTTGCGCTGTATTCGTGTTTGTGTTGCTGAAGATAGCTTCGGACAAGCTGCGACTTGCCGGCCCCACCTAGCCCCCACACAACAACAATTCTTGGACCCTGTCCATCATCCTGAGTCCTTTCGCGTGTGAGCTGCTCATGTATCTTGTCGCGTAGGCTAGGTCGTGGTACAAAAGTGGTAACCGGAGGGAAGGAGGAAAATGCGTAGTGGCCATTGTAGTTACACGGGGATGGGGGGGATTGATCTGGAGCCTATGTTAGCATTTAGTTTAAAAAATAGTATTAAAACTCAGCGCACTCAAGAAAACATTTCCAAGTATCATTTTGACTTTTCCGCTTGCGAAGATGTCTCTATAACTATTCCAAGATGAGCTTGCCATTTTTCTTAAAGCCGAATGCCCATGTAAATAATATTAGCATCAAGTAGGTTAATTTAGAGTTCGTAGGCTGCGCAGATTATCGAGCTTGACCTAGGCGTGTGAGGACGATGAGGGCGAGTGCGAGTGTGAACCTGGTGCTGCTGGGGTTGATAATTAGCTAGTACAAACCGCGAAGGCTCAACTAAGTGGTGAGCGTAGGCTAAATAAAGGCGTCCTCGCAGATTTAGCATTTACATCATCGCCTATCAACGAATCAATCGGCCCGTCACACAAAACCACGGGGGCATCAACCCTGCGAGGAGGGCTTAACTGAGCTGGTGTCTTATCTGATTTTAGCGCTTCGAATCGACTCGGCGCTTCTCCTCTGTAAACACTAATCATCGTCTACATCCGTACGCTGGCTTGTGAAAGGGCTGTGCAGCACCCCCTATTTAACCCCCACAACATACGGATCCGTACTCCGTACACTACCACTATTACAATAACTCACCCAGCCTCTCTCGATTGACGGTATTCCAGGCATCTTCACATCCTGCCTAGACTACTTCCAATATATCCGACGTGGTCAACGCTTCAGAAAGGACTTCGGGTTCTGTCTCTCTCGGCCGGAAGCCGCTCAAGTTCGCTTAACCCGTTGGTTGAACCTGCTGATATTCTGAAAGGCAAATTCTAGACCAAGGGCTTTGTAAAAAGGCGCAGATATCATCAAAGCTTGCGAATGGCTTGGAAAAATTGACGCTGCTTTTGTAGAGGCAAAAGCCACTTCGGCTAAGTATGCCGCCTGCCAGAAGAAGAAACGCAAGAATCTGGACTTGGGGCCTCTAGATGAAGTGCAGATACTAGAGGTCTAGGGGTTTAAAGTGTCTTGTTGTGTCTCTAAGTTAACATCAAGGGAGCGGCAGAGGCATCCCAGCTTGCCACAGAAGACTGTTTAGGCGTTGTCTGTATGGCAAATACAGCTTTAACTTCTTAATCAAGTAACTTATTACTCTAATTAGCAGTCTTGTAGAACCGCTTCCTATAACAAGTATTAGTTTAAGGAACTTTACAAATAGGAAGTTAGAGGCTTTACAAAATAATATGTCCTTAAACTTGTTAAGGTACTTAGGCACAATAATAACAAGTTTAAAATTATAGACAATAAGATTCTAAGCAGAGTTATTGCTGATTATATAATTGTACCATCTCAAATTTCGTCATATAGAGGCTGACGGCGACGGAATCCATTAATTTGGAGATAAGCACGGCTTTGGGTCAGATGTGAAACCACGTAGGCTCAAGGTTAATAGTATGGACATTAAAGGCTGCGGGGGCACCTACGCCGGGCATACTCTATGGTCAGCAGAGAACACAGGCAATGTGTTCGTACAGGGATGGCATTTTAGCTAGTCAGTCTCAGAAGAGAGACGCTAGAGAAAGTGCTCTTGAAGAATCTAAGGCTAGCTGATAAAACCGTGTTAGGTAGATTGAGAGAAGAAAAAGAGTGCTCTTCAGGATCATCGGCATAAACCGCTGGTCCACCCTGCGCTGGCGTATGCATCGTGAGATGTTGCAAAAGGATCTTCTACTTGCTTCTGCGCCAACTGAATGTTCTAGACGCTCCACTTCCTCGCCACGTATATTAGCTGCACTAGGCACGTTTGACCTGGATGATGCGCCGCAAGAGGCTAATAAAATAGCTACTAATGTAACGTGATTATACAACGCAGTATAACAAAATCAGAGGGGTTGGGGGTAGTCTTATAATCTAGCCATGGCGGCAGACTGCGAGACTTTCCGACGGGTCTGAGCGTCGCTATGCGGGGAAGATTTTTCTAAATAGCTGAGCGGTTCAGCCAAGCCCCCAGCTAAGTCCTCGATGCAGGGTAGATGCCCACGTGGTTTTAGGCGATAGGCTGATTGATTTGTTGATGGCTGATAATGTTGACGCTAAAGCTGTTGAGTGTACCTTGCTTTTGGCTCGCCACTTTAGTAAGCTCTATCTATCGTATTCAAAAATCGGTGCAATGCTTGGCGTCACCCTTGCCTTTTTTTCGCGCGCGTATTTTGCTAGTAAACTGCAAAACGCGTTGTGCAGCCACTAAATTGCTCTAGGTCCTTAGTTAAAGTTAGTTAAAAAAATAAAGATATTTAACTACGCGTAATAGGCTATACTAACAACTTTTCTAGTGTTATAGCATGGCTAGCGAGAGGCCTTAGAGGGCAACTAGAGCTACTAAAAAGGCTTAACAACAACTAATTTAAACAGCTGCAAAGAAGGCCTTAACAATAGCCTTAAAGGCTACATTAAAGGCTTAAAAGAAGACTAGTTAACTAAAAACGCGTAAGGTAGTAAGCTTTTAAGCACCACCTAAAGTAGGTCCCTTAGCGGGTACCTAGGGGAGCTCTGCGCCTGTTAGTACTGCTCTAGGAGAGTTGCAGAACCTACTATTGTTACCACTAATTGCGCCTAGAGCAATATTTTCACTAATACATCTTCTAACAAGTAGCCCTAAGGCTTAGGCTAGGGCGTTATTACTACTAACTAAATACCTTTAGCAACTAGATATATTATATAAGCTGTATGTAAACAGCAAGAGGGTAGTATTGCAGCTACTAAAGGTAGAGACTTAGGGGGTTTTCTTTATGTTTTAAATAAAGGAGATAGTTAAAAAGATAATTAAAAATTCTACTTTAATAGTAAAGAGTAGGACCTATAAGATAGTAAGCTGCACAGTAGAGTTTAAGCTTACTAGTAAAAAAAGCACTAAGTTTATTACTATTAACCTTAATAATTTTAGCTTAACTAAGGGCTGCTAACTTTTTAAAGCAATAAACTATTAGATTACTGTTAAAAGAGAGTTGCTAAATAAGTAAGTAGAGCTTAAAGTAAAAGTTTAAGTAAAGTGTAAGCTACTTAAAAAAGCTTTTCTGTGTAGCTAGGCATTTAATAATCTGTCCTTTAACTAGCTAGAGGTGGTAACTTCTAGTTAGTTTACCTCTAAACGCAAGAGGCAATTAATAAATAAGATAAAAGCTGCTTAGCGCTAAAAGCAGTTTAAATTATAAGCTAAGTTAGAAAGCTAGATCTACTACATATAAAAGTACTACACTAAGAACTATAATAACTTTACTTATTAGTATTATATCTACTTAAGCAGTAAGCACTTTAAGATCTAACTAGTTAACTCTAAGTTATAAGCGCTTACCTGCCTTAATAGTAAAAATAGAGTTTATATAAGCTAGCCTCTAATTAGCTTAGTTAAGCACTAGTAAGGTTTAACTAGCAACTAGCTTAAAGTTGCTAAGAACAAAGAAAAGGTAAGAGTAAAAAAACATAGGCGTTATAATAACTTAAGCAACTCTAATAGTAGTAAGAAAAATTAAAGGCGTAAGTAGTAAAAAAAAAATAAGATTTAAGCACAGTAAGATAAAAATTAGCAATATAAGCAGTAGTAAATAAAGCTTGCTTACTGTAAACAGATTAGATCTTAGTAAAATATAAGTGTTTTTAGCGCCTAGTTTCTGCAAGTTGTTCTGCCTTTTATGTACCCTGCTGCTGTGTTAGCTAGTAGCTACTCTGCTATTGCTGTGTAGTACTTGCCTTACCTGCAGCTAGTTTCTTAGAGGCCTCTTACCCTAGCTAGTGCTGCTGCTTTAAGGCCTATTACTATTAGTTTAAGCTCTATTACTAATAGTAGCAACTTTTGCAGTACTATAAAGGAGTTTTTTAAGTAGCTAGTTAAATAGCAGCTAGAAGATAACTAAAAGGACTACCTTTACATAGTAAAGGTAGTAAGCAAGTAAAAGTAGACTATTAAGAATTTAAAAGAGATGTTAGCTATAAGTAGTAAGCTTTATAAACTTGCTATTAGTAAACTTTTTAAGCTTAAAAATAGGGTTGTTTAACACTTATAAAAGGATATCTGCTGCTATAAGCAATACTACTAGGCTGCAGTGGCTCTAGCAGGGCTAACAGGTAGTAATTAAGGTAGATTGTTATAGTTAGTAATAGACAAGCAAAGAAAAGTTAGCAAGCTTTTATGTAAAATTATATTAAACTATTACCCTCTACAGCCTGCCTTTTCTTATCTACCCTCTCTACCTTGCTATCTTGCGCCTAGCCTCTACTAATTAAGCCTTTTCTATATATAATTTGCTTATAGAGTACTTAAAATGTTTCCTAGCAAACCTATTACATTTACTCTTCTAAATACACGCCTGCAGAAAGTTGCTAAAGTTTAAAAAACACGCCTAAATATACCTATAATTCTACTAGATTTACGCCTTAAGTACTTTAAATGTAAGCTTAATTAAGTTAAAGTTAGGCAAGTATAGCAGTAAAAAGTGTATAATATAACTATTTTATTTAATTATCTTAACAACCTTAGGATTCTAATAGATAGAGACGTTATTTATAATTACAACTATTAGTTTAAAGCTGTATGTTGTCTAGAGAGTTAGTAGGAGCGCGTTTTAGATCTAATCTTTAAAATCCTTGTAGGCAAAGTAACCCTCTTTAATACTAGTGCAGGGTAGGTAGCTGTTAACAGTGTACGCAGGTAGGATTGCCTAAGTAGCCCCTTACTTTATTTCCTAGGTATATCGCGCTTTATAGCCTACTAGCGCGTATGTGTAGTGCCTTTAGCTAGTTTTCTTGTTAAAAATAGACTTATAAATAAAAGTTATTAGCAGTAAACTGCCTAAGGCTTTAGTAGAACATCTTACAGAGTTACTTATTATAATAGATTAAAAAAGGCTATAAGGTATACTTACTCTACCCCTTCTGCTTTAAGAACTATAAAATAGTTAGTTAACTAATATAAACACCTCTTTTTATAAGTAACTAGTAGTAAATTTTATCTTAATACATCTACCTACTCTGCATTAGCTTATTATAGAGCGCGTTAGCGTCTTAAGCGCCTATCTTAATAGGCTGCCTAAGTGTTGCTGTTAAAGGCTTTTAAGTAGTGCTAAACGCTTTAAGATTCTTCTCTATGTTATAAATAGCTTACTTAAAGCAGTCCTTACAGTTAGTAATTGCTTTAATAGGCTATCCTAGTAAGAGAAAGCGCTAAATATTAAGCCTAGTACAACTACTTAATCCTTACTTGTAGATAAGAGGTATAGGTTAGAGGTTTAGGACGCGTTAGCGCGTTAGCGCGGCAGCAACGCTGTGAGCTTGAAACATAGGGTCCTATTACACTAGAAAAGCTGTTAGTATAGCCTGTTATGTGTACTTAAATAGCCTTATCTTTTTTACCTAACTAATTAATATTATAGGGCGATTTGTGGCTGCATAGGGCAATTTGCAGTTTGCTAGCAAAATACGCGCGCGAAAAAAAGGGCGAGGGTGACGCCAAGCATTGCACCGATTTTTGAATACGATAGATGATACCAGCCGCGCCAAGCTTACACTCCACCCATCGTCCTTGAACGCCTGGGTTAAGATTGATAATCTTTGCAGCTACAAATATAAATGCAACCAAATAGAAGGCTTATCCAAGCATAGGTATAAAAACGCCGACGCAAGTAGAAACACCCAAATTCACCTTAGAGATGTTACTGTTTTAGTGCGCACAGTTTTAATGCTAATTTTTAAACTACATGCTAACCTAAAGTCTAGATCAAGACCCAGCTTAGCGCGACTACAAAGCTGACTACTGGTACACCTCTTTCTGTCTAATTGCAACTTTTGTGCAACAACCCGGCTAATACAACAACCTACACATGCAGCTTACACGCGAAAGAACTTAGGGCGATAGCAAGGGTTTAAGAATTGTCATTGTGTGGGGACTAGGTAGGATTGATAGGAGAAACGTTAGAAGACATCCCACAAGCTTTACATAAAGCCTGTGAGTCGCGTTCAAGGAGGTATTAGGGCACTAACTGGTCAAAAGGGTTGTAAAGACGCTTGAATGTACTGTTTCTTAGTGCTTTGATCTACACAATGTGTACCGCAAGGTGAGCCTAGATGGAGCTGATGGAGCTAATGGAGGGCATATATAGAGAGAGGCGAGCAGACAACCAGGTATTAAGAGACAACCTAGGTAGATTGAGGTGTGGTGTAATGTCTCTAGAGCTCGAGAGAGCCCAGAGGGAAATATATGGTAGCTAAAAGAGTGCTAGTCCTAAACAGGAAAAGGGTGAGAGGTGAAGGGCCCACATTCATGCTGAGTAAGGTCACGTGAACAAGTTTCACTTACAACAACATGTTGTCTTAAAAATGTCTACCGCTGACTATTTTCTGTTGCAGGGTTATCATTTCACGTACCTTGCTGCCTCACGGACGTTGCTCTCAGCGCGATTAGGTTACTGGGTAAAGAACGATACTATGTTGCCAGGCAATTGTACGCTGTTAAAGTTGTGGGCTCATGGAGCGGATTTAACGCTTCTGGAGAAACAAGGCAAGGTAACCAGCGGATAATCTTAGCTGTTTTGACTAGAGTACGGCATGCTTCAATTGAATTGTACTACTTGCACGATCACGTGAGCCGTAGCAGTTACTCTACGTCCGCCTGCCTCTCCTCCTCACTGCCGTACGAACGTGCACCAAATCTCACCCGTACAGGCCTCAAAATCGGCCAATCATATTGCTTTACGTTTCTTTAGAATTGCTGGAAAGACCGACTCTCAGTTATCCCCAACAATACTTCTCGTCCAGATACAGCCCGCCTATTTTTTGCTGTAAAGCACGTTCCGCGGAATATGCAACATCCACATTCTGCAGTACGCGCAGTCGAAACGGGAGCCAATCTCCGTGAGGAGCTTTTCCCTAAGGCATTCCTCACAAATCTCATGACCACAATTCGTCAGCCTCAGGATACTCAATTTCTTCGACATGCATATACCGCAGACTCTGTCTTCGGTAACACGAGTCGCGATATCGGAAAAATTAAGCTGTATAGTAATCACCTCCCTGGCTGGAAGTTCACTGTCGTCATCATCTACTAGGTCCGGTGTCGTAGGCGAGGATTGACTTTGGCCCGGTTGATCGATGCCAAATATGTCACTACAGTTCTGACAGAATATTGGGCGGCCATCTACAATCTCATGGGTCGCTTCCTGTGGACATTGCTGGCGTTCAATGAGCCCTGGTGCTAACTTCAATGCTTGACACCGGAGGCGGCCGTCGGATAAGGTGGGGAGTAGCTGGAGTTGTGTGCCGGGAGCTAACCCATTTGGTGTAGTATTGGAGTGAAGCATATTTGCATGGCATTCAGGAGGTAGTATGGTTTAAGAGAAATATAGGAAGAATTTGATCCTTATATACTAGGTTTGTGGATGAATAAACCTCGAACCGGGCCGTAAATCTACCTAGCATTGTATAGACAGTTTGCGCAGAGCACGGGAGTGAAAAAGAGGCTGAAAAATAAAGATACATTGTCCTAATACTTTGTTCAGCCATGCACACCAGTGAAAGACCCAATGGAGCAAGAAAACAAAAGACGTCGCGGTGAAAGGATGGAATGCCTACTGCAACATATTACCTAAAGTGGAGCCTGACAGAGTGGTAATCTAGGACAGAAATTGGCATCCTTTTAGCTTTCTCCCTAAATTTAAAGTGTTGGTTAGCCAACTACAATCCACAGTTAACGTTCCATGTAAAGTGCGAGGATGCTGTAGATATGTTACAGTGTATACAAATAAGGGAGCTTACTGTAGAAAGGTGCCAGTTACACTATATATAGTGAAATATAACTTGGCTTGTGAATTGAAGTGATTAGCGATGTAAATTTGCCTACCATATATTGATGTTTAATAGGTCCCAGAAGCGAGGGTTTGTTCTATTGATTGTAGAATACAGCAAATTGCATGTACGATTTATTTCGTAACTTGCAGCTCGAACTTCCTCCCCCTCAAGCCCCCACAGCAGCCCAGAACGCCTGACTCTCATTACCCTCTACAACCTTCCCTATCGACATCGAACTATCCTCACTCACATGTCTCACATAAGCTTGTGCGACCTTCAACCACGACGCCTTCTCCGCTCTGCTCGCACCTTTACCCTCCCAAACCCAAATCGCGCGAGTAGAATCTAGCAAAAACACATCGTTTCCATCGAAATCGCCCTTGTTAACATTCTCACCCTCACTCACCGCCGTAAAAGATAGCTCACCGTCTTTATCACTCAACTTAAATAACTTCTTCGCCTTCCTCGCCTCCTGCATTCCCCCCCTACCTTCTTCCCTCCTTGCTGCTGGCCTCTCACACACAAACTTTTGGTCAAATACATCCACATCCCTACCCCCCAAATAATCTACCACAACCTTGCTCCTAGTCTCTGATTGGCTCAACACCTCAACCTCCACATGTTTTGCCAGCGTGAGATCATTGACGACCTGCGCGGCTTTTAGTTTCTCCATCGGTGCGCAATTCTGGCCCTGCCAGACGAAAATCTTATCCCCGCGGTCGAGAACAAAGACGTCATTTTCATCCAGCGATTGCCACGTCGGTTCAACTTCGTGCACCATGATTGCGTCACGACTGGCAGCCAGGCTCGGATGTTTAAAGATGCGGAGAAGCATATCGACATGTACGTTCTCCTCTTCTGCGACATGCGTGAAGCCCGAAGCGACACCACCGCGCAGGATTTTGATTTTTGGAAAGAGCGCGAGAAAGTCGTCGGATGTATTGTTCTGGAGTTCGCGATACTGAGTTGCAGTTCCGTGCAGATATTCGTCCAGTTCCACGGTTTTGTAGGCCGCGGCTCCAGCTTCGTCTTGGGTCGTGTGGGAACCGAGGTAGAAGAATATGTCGTGGATCATTTTGTTCTTACCCTCCTTGCCATCTCCCTCTTCCCCCCCTTCATATGAGTTATTGTTTTTTGCCTCCACTTTCTCAGTGTGAAGAATGATATATGAATCCCCTTCATGAAACTGCCCATACTTCTCTTTCGGCCAAGGCACGACTTCGAAATCTTCAATCCGCCATACGAAGAGCCCGGGTTCAATACCAATGATGCCGTTGTTCCATGCGGGCTCTGTGGTTGCGGATTGGTATTTTATTTTGTGGTCAATGGAGGAGTTTATGAGTTCCACGTTAGAGTCGCGCCAGTCGTATTCTTTTGGGTGGACGAGGCCTTTGTGGGGCGGCATTTTGTTGAGTTGAGTTTACCTGAATACGTGGGAAGATGAATTAAAGACAATATCTACAACACGCACGGGTTTGCGAAGAGGTCGATGGTTGTTGGATAAATGCTGAGCAGTCGAGGTCTCAGGGAGTCAGGGTCCAAGGGCTGAGGTGGAAGCTCCAAACGAACTGTGGGGCTCCGTCCCTGAAACGCGACTTGTTTGGCATTCGTCATTTTCTATTTTTGGAAACCCAGATTAAACTAAAGACGTACGATTGGGTTAGGGTTAATTATCGCTCTGGAAACAAAAGAGTTTCGTACTGCAACCACGTTGAGACCTTGCGGGCAAAGCAGAAAGTTGGGAGGCAAGAAGTCCGAACATTCCTTAACCCCCATCATCACCAACTCGCCTCCCTCATACACTACACCTAACGTGAAGCATGATGAGAGCAATTTCAGAAAGAAACTTGCATCCTAGAAACAGTATGTCTTGTTCTAGCAAGCATATTATCAGTAAATTTCCACTCCAATGTTAGTTCAAGTTGTGTGCTAAAACGCCTAGTACACATCAAAGACAATCTAGTCATCTAACTTCCTTAATCTCATATTTCTCTTTATTTGAATAGCCTTTACCAACAATGCTAACGCCGCTGTCGCAATCAAAAAACCTAGCCGGAGACCCCACCGTAATCGCATATCCCGAACTATCTATTTTCAACCAAAGGTAAGGAGTCCTACCACATCTCGTCAGCAAACAATACCATCAGCTCTAATGCCGGTGAACGCATTCGGAGCCCTCGGGGAAGATGTGGTGCCGGCCGAGATGGGGTTTTAACTCCCCAAATAGAGGTCACGTTCAGAATCGTAGTAATAATGGAGATAGCAACGGCTCTCTTCTCCTTCGTCTGTCCGCAGGTACTCCCACACGATGCGAAAATCAAATATTTCACACCACACGTCCCGATCGTGAAGACCACCATACTAAAATAGCGGCTAGCAAGGTTCATGGTCGCACAGGCCACAACAATTCCTATCGTCGCGACGTCTTCGACATAGGAATATGCCGGATTCTCTCCTTGAACTTCCATGAACTCCAGGATACTAGGGTGACAACAGTACCGGCGATGGGGTCAGACGGGGAGGCGAGCACAAGAATAATCGTTTCATGGAAGCCAAGAGTTTCAACGACAGTAGGGAAGAAGTTTCAAAGTTCGCTAGCCGCGAGATGTGTGTGTGTGCCATGAAGGCGCAGATCCACATCATAGGGTGTTTAGTCACTTTTTAGAAGCCCTTCTACGTGGAACCTTCGCCTGTTTTTTTTTGCATGGCATCGAGTTCCACGTGGTTAATTGCGAGCGCACGTTCGTCTAAAGTCGGCCAATTTTGTTGTGGGAAGTTTTGGAGGATGAAGTAGCCATGTCGAACCTTATGGCTCCCTGGAGGATAAACATCCAGCGTCAGCCGGAAAGACCGCGGATGATGCCCTTGCCGTGGAAGATCCCGGTGGCGATGAGACTAGCAAAGGCGGTTACGAGGATGTTGCCAGTGTGGAGGATGGCGATGCGTGCAGTGAAACTCCCTTCGAGTGTACGAGATAGAGAGTAGATAGACCCGCGCCAGGGTAATACGGAGCATCTTTGATGCTAAGGAAAATTTGAGTCAGCAAAAGGCCCGTGGAATTCTTTGGAATGGTCGGTTAAAGTGCTGACAACGGCCAAGAGCATCATTTTCCGGCCTATCCAGCAATCTGAACGTGTTAGTCGTGAGGCATCCCATCCGGGTGGAGGTACTTACTTGGCCGAGTTCGAGACAAGATCATGTTAGGGTTTCAGCAGAGAGATATACCACAAAGAGAATCGACACACAGGTCTGATATTGCGTGCTGGTAACGTCAAGGTAGTTTCGCTAATACATGCTCCAAAGCATTGGCTTCAGGAGGTTAGCTATATGGGCAGCTGTGGAACCCAAATATGCAAAAAACTACAACTCCTCGATTCAAATCCTTCACTAGTACTATTCCGTGAGGTTTATGTGCAAGTCTAACATACCTCATGAGCGCCAGAATAACCTTGCTTCTCGGTCCCTAGGACTAGCTTCCGAAGGACTTGCTCGGGGCTACTACCAATCATGAGAGTGTTGTCCTTCATGTGGGTGAATATGCTGGAAGAAAAGTCGTATAAAATGGTAATTATCAACAAACGGCTAGGTACATGATTCTAGGGTACAGTGGAGTATGGAGGAATAGTAAAGTTCCAGTCCACAGAAGAATCTAAGGAAACCCCATCCAGACAGTAGAATGAATAGGAGGTTCTACGGGGTATGTTGTCTGTGCCCCTGTCATCAACTCCCGACATATTTTTCGCTCTTAAAATGGAATTAACAATAATCGTGTAGGAAATCCACGCCTTAAGAGCGAAATGGCTCAAGAATTGCCAAGATAGAGGGTTCAGGCTGCTTTCGGTCGTGAAAAGCAGCAGTTGAGGCATAGTCGTAGAGTAAACAGCTGAATCCCTGATCGGAGGATGTCAGATTGCTCGAACACCAAGGTGCGGGAAAAAAACGTGACATGATGGTCGCCGGCTCACCATGTGGCCATCACCCACTTGGTAGCAATTCGTTGATAGTCCCGGTGCTCACAATGAAAGGACCTTAAAATCTTTATGCGGTCGACTTCCATGGTGTCTTCACTACTACAAGACATTATACGCTGCCCATCGAACACAGCATCACGGCCAAATGCTTTTTGGATGGTTTCCTGAGGCTGAAATAGCCTCCCTATAGGTGAATGCCTAGGAATAGATGAATAATATGGACATCGTCCCCACCTGCAGCATGCACAGAAGCCGAAACCCGCTACTGTGCAAGTTTTTTCCACAGCAGCAAATTCCTACCTCCCATGCGCCAATTCCGGATTCGAAAATCTTACCTGCAGTCTCCAAGCCGCAGCATCAAGCCACACCACCCGGTCACACACTCATCTCCTATACTCGCATGGCCTAAGCCTTGGTGTTGAGCCCAGCTCCATCGAATCCAGCAGGCTAGCCGTGAGTTACGATATTAGCCAGCCAGGCCTAGATTGATCTGCAAGTCATGCAGTGCGGGGAAGCCTCTTGGACTCTGGGGTTGGCACGAAATTACTTGGCGTTCTGAATCGTTGGGTAGGCCCTGGGCTTGGGGTCGGCCCGATAGTGAGTAGCCGATGCAAGGAGCCAATAGCGAAGGGTTGAAGGATGCACTCCAGTTGCTTCGTTAGGTCATGTGGAAGGCCCAGGATGTTGTGCAGTTCGTGGACGCCATCGACCCTAACATAAGCGTGCACGACGGCGAGCGGTTATCTGAAATGGCGGATTAACTCGTTCATTCTTAGATTGCTACCTTAGACAGCCTTTCAGCTGACGCATTTGTGGCACTTTCCACGCGCTGGAATGAAGAGAGCGGCTTCAATTCAGTCTAGTAATGTAATAAGAGAGGAAATATAGAAATAGAGTTGTCCACTATCTTTCGAGTTCTTTGTAGCGGCCAATCCAGGTATCTCGAATTCAAACTTAACAGGTTTTATTAACGCCACAACACTTTCCCTACAAGGTCCGCTCACGGCCTCCCCGTACTCCCAGGTGTACTTCCCGAATAACTAATTGTCTTCGTGACCATAATCCCATCCGCCTTTGGGCGCTCAACGCTCGGATCCCTACCTCCTGCGCCAATACTCACGCCCCTTCCCCCATACGCCACACCGCCGTAAAAACTCTTCCCGTCTTTCCCGTCTTTCCTGCCTTTCTTTGCATTGCTCGAAGTATCTCTCCAGTCCTCTCTTTCGTTCTTTAATCTCTGTTGCTGCTGCGTGAGGCTTTCCCATCGATCAGACCCACCGCCAGCCTCATACTGCACACCGTCGTCTCTCAGTCCGGTTGCCGAGGCGCTTCTGTGGAGTTGAATAACAGGAATAGTAGAAGAAAGGGATTTAATATCCAACTCAATTCCCTGAATCTCCGCACCACCCTTTAGAATCTTCTCGGCAGATGAACCCGACATACTCGTGTCACTCCTCTTTGAACCACTAAACATGCCCATGCCCGTGCCCATTCCAGTGCCCATCCCATGGTGATCGATCTTCAATGCCTTACCTACGCCGCTTTTGCTCTTGCGTCCTCGCGATCGCGAACGGCTTCTGCTGCGAGACCGCCAGCCTTTACCGACGGTGGAGGTGTTTCCATATGCGAGGTTAGCAGCGTTTCCGCCGTTGGACCCGTTTGTAGAGGATTTATTGTTGCCATTAGAAAAGTATGATCCGATGCCATGCCGGAGGAATTTGAATAGGGGACGCCAGGTCGGCATGCAGGCTGCAAGGATACCGGAACTGCATTCTATGGTGCTGATAAGGGAGATAGGAACATAGTCCCCTGGGTAGATTGCCAGTATCAGTCAGCGGGCTTGGGAGAGGAGGAGTAGGACGCAATAGCACTCACAACTTGGATCTGCGGTCTCCACTTTCCTGGCGTAGATTAACCGGATGATACTGATGACACAGACGAATCCTCCAAGCAGAAAGAGAGTGCAGATGGACCACTTTGTCCTACGCTCCAGTTGAAGGCCGATGACAACGGGAACGGGGAGGGCAAGGATCCACCAGTCGGTTAGGATGTTGACGATGCCAAAGGTCACGATTACTATCAATGGGTAAGCTAATTCCTACGGCCTAGTAAGGGATAAAAAATTTGAAGTCGATGGGAGAGAAGACGCAAAAGGAAGAAACCGTACCAGCCTGGAAATTGATACAATACACCTTCCCCCCCGGGCCTAGATCCTTCCACAGGCTTTCGATTGGTACGCATTGAAATATGTATGCAAAGCATTGTGGCACGGTGTACAGAAAGACGAAGATAGCGGTGAGGTAAAGAGTTGGCGTGAACCAGCCATGCGTACGGCAAAAGATGCGAGAGTAAAGTGCGAGTATCGACAGCTTGATAGTTGGCGTACAGAGGTTGTAGAAAGTTTGCGCGATTAATGAAGTCTGGAATTCTGTTGTGAGCGAGGTAGCGAGAAACTCGGGGAATGTATTTTAATGCATTCTATGGTGACTGCGGCCTGCGATATCCAAGTATTCATTCATGTACTCGGAAGCATGAAGGGATCTTAGAATACTTCGTAAGGAAGAAAATAAACATACCAGTGCAAACCCTTTTACATCCTTGACTACAATTGCATGTCTACCCATACCAAGTCTCACAGTCACGAAGAGACACGCCACATGCCCGGTCACCAATACCTACAACGTGTCAGCTTTCGTGAAATCGCCTATATGGTGGTCTCTTTGCTATCGTGTTGAAAGTTGAAATCGAACGAGAGAGTAGGGGTATCTCCCTCTAACGCTACTATACTCTCCTACCCTGATTCGCATCGCTATTTTGGCTTTCATAAGAAATGGAATGGTGGCAACTCACCGCCGCACAACAAATTAGCCAATCATCCAGCCCAATCTTCGTTCCAATCTTCAATCTCGATAAAAATCTCAAGCTTACAGCCACGTACGCAAGGACTAAAAAAGTCGCATTAAGCCCCACAAACCATGATCTTCGGTCATCGCCAAGGTGTGCCTGCCAGTAGGAGATATCTTGAGCTGTTGGGTGAAGCATGGTGGCGGAAACAGTAGTCGTCCTTTCCCTTCAGAATACCAAAGGTAAAGTGTGTTTTGTGGCAGCGGAGGTTGCAGCCGGGCGGCACAGCGGTAGAGGTCGGAAACTGTGACACCTGCCTTTCAAGATTGACGGCTGCGGCGTAGAGACCGGAGGATCCGTATAGGGGTCTGAAGCGACGATTTTCGGATGAATGCGTTGGTGAAGGACATGCGCCTGCGCAATTCTTTAGTTAAGGTCTAGACATTACTTTACTTCGCTTGTGGTTGAGAGGTTCATGTTATGTCGTCGCAAAACTTAGGTGAAGAGGGAGGACAGGAAGGAATAGGGAAAGGGGATCATGGTAGCACATGGCGTTACGGAATATTATTTTAATCGTGGTAGCTGCATGTCGACGGAGTTCGAGCGAGCCGAAGAAGAGTTGCAATGCCGTAGGATTCGCCGCTACATCTGCCATTGCGTTGAGAAGGATGATGGATCGAGTAGTCGTTGCTCAAACAGGGAGGATGACGTGAGCGTTCGACAACCGTGCAGTGAATACGACGTCCGTTTCAGAGAAAGTCGGGAAATGCAAGGCTGGGAACCAATTACGCCCTCAATCACCGCCTCACGTCGTCAGCCTTGTGATTCTTGATTGGAGAGTCGCCCCAAATTCACCTCGCCAAAACCCTCTCTCCTTCCGAGCCGAATAACACGTGGATATTACCCGCGCCCCTCTCTTTTTCAAGAAAAACCGTTTCCAAATAAGGGATAGCGTTCGGACTTTAACATGACTTCGACGCAAGATTCGGGTCGATAAATTAATGCTAAGTGTTCCCCACCGTTCGCGATGATTAGGGAGTCGTTCGGTATTTAGACTCGACACTATTCCCGGCCAGGAGACATATGGAGAGCAGGCCTCAATGACAAATTCCGGGACTTTAGACATAGGATGAAAGGAAAGCGTAGATAGAACGTGTGAAAAAATGCGCGCCGCTAAGCCCACCTACATGAAGATTGGGACTGCGACGGTGCAGGAAAGTGACGTAGAAGTCGTGCTAGCGAAAGCTACGTTTTCTTTACTTTCGTGGGATGCTAAAGGACTGTGGAAGCCTCCTCAAAGAATTCGACACTCCACATAGAAGAAATCCGCATGGCTTTCTGTACTGCAGCTGAAATTCTCCGCACTCGTCACCAATATCACCATCCAGCGCTACCTACCCTTATTATTCTCCACTGTCTCTGAGGGCGCACCAAGGAGCGCATGGCGTTGCGTAGATGAATATCATGGAAGGAGTTCGTCAGTTAGGCACAGGATGAAAATGTCAAACTAGAGGATCGAGGACCCATGACTTGAGACGGGATTCAACTGAGATCGCCAAGATAAGGTTGATATCGGATGCGGGCCGTCTGCCCCACAGTGAAGCGATATCGGTTTCTAACCGATGGTCCCCTCACAGTTAGGCCAAGCCTTCGTGAAAGAATGTGATTTTGATCACACAAGCGACGGGTGAATGTCGGGTGAGTCTGTTCCGAGGAAAAGTACTGTGAAGATGTTGACTGAACAGAGTAACTTGCAGCGTGGATGTAGGGAAGTGCTAAGGAAGTGCAGAGCTTGTCCTTAAAGCACATATATACGACATGTATTGATTACTTTTTCAACAAAGACCGAGTCCCTGACCGTTTAAAGTGAGTAAGTACCGCAGTTCAATTAAGCCTTTATGAGAACGCAACGAGTATGAAATTCAGAGGTCCATCATTTCGAGGTCGAATGTAGGATCCGCCGAAGGGATCACTTTGCCCTTTGTCCATGCGAAATCATGGGAAAGGAATCCCAGTCTTGCGGCAAGCATTCTGTTGGACAGACGGACGGCTAGTATTTGAGAAGCACACTCGAGAAAAAAGGTCACGCTATAACCGCGCAGCATGTGCGTTTCGCCTCCACTTCTCCCTTTGCCACTCCTTTCCTTTGATGTCGGCCTAGAAAAGGGCTCGAAAATAGATCATGCGCCCTCATATTGTCATAGACGCGATGGCTTCGGTCGGGACGCATATTCCATCCGAGAAAAAAAAAAAAAAAGAGAGGCGACACCTCTGACTCCAGATTCTTTGCTAAATAATGAAGAAAACTAAGTTTGAGCACGGGCACACAAGATGTTCCGCAGACGAATTGGCGCTTGTTGTCCTAACACGACCGGGCTAGTAACGTCATCTTGAGACAAAAGCGCACAGATGCATTAGTTCAACCAGGGATTTTCCGTTCGAGGCGCCTCACCGACTTGTGCTGCAAGGTCAATCGTAACGAAATCATTAATATCGAGACGAAATGGGGATGTCAGGAGAACGTCAGGACATCTCAAAGAATGGAGCGCTGGAATGATCGGTGGCGTTGAGCAGGACGCTTGCCGATTGGTCCCTCGTATTTGGATTGTGGGGATGACTTGACAAGACCGCGGTTGAATTGTCGCGATAGACGATGTGATGAACGCTGCACTGCATGAAGGCTGCTGTCACTTACTCCCCGGGGACTGGGACGCCTGACTCCGTCCTGCTCAGTGTCTTAAGAGGCGAAAAGACGTTCCGATCGACATGGGGATTGGAAGATTCGCGGTGATCACACCAATCGCTGTCTAGGCTGGCTAGACTTTCAATGAAATGCAGTGAAAGCGTGTACACCCACAGGGACAATTCCTGAGCCGCATAGCCAATCACAGCGTATTGGTTTTTAGGAGTAACATGCTTGAGAAGTTGGCGTGTCTAAGAGGAAGTTTTTTTTCTCTCCCCTTGCGGCAGATGCTCGCATTTCGGGAGATGAAAAGAGCGGTCAACTGTGTGACACAAAATCGAAGTCTGATGGCCCTTGTTGTCGGATCGCCGTTTACGTGCATGTGATGTTGTTACCCTATTTCCCGATGCCTGATCTAATCACTGAGCGTCGCGTATTCCTCTGTGACAAGGGACCAGCCACAGAAATGATTAGTTTACTTGCTGATTTGTTCAAGGGTCATTTCGCATCCATCATCCCCAGGATCGACTGAAGGGTTCCTCGTTCATTTAGGGGCTGAGATCCAACGGGGATGGTTAGTCTCAAACTCTAAATTGCTTGTCGTCCAGGCGGAAATATTGACTAAATAGGACAAGAATGTGCGCCGAGATCTTTTGTCTCTAGCCAGAACTGCAATGGTGGGTGATTTGGAAAGCTCCGAGCGCCGTAGTGTGTCAATGCGAACGAATGACGGGAAAGACGGTTGAGGCTACAGAATAATTGGAGCTTTACCACATGGATAGAAGACGCAGTCTTGCAGATCTGAATACGGCAACTGACTGGTTCTTCTCGTTTAGCATTTGGGGTTGTCATCTAGAGAAAAGAGAGGTCTGCAAGAGTTGGGGCGCCTCGCGTTGTGAAAATAGGGAGAGGAGTGCATCCCGAGGACATGTGCCCGGAAAGAACCAGACACCGATTGACGGGAGTGGCAGTTCAAGTACCCACCCAAGATGGAGGGTAGATCAATCGGGTGCAAAGGAAGCGCTGGCGCCAAGTTGAAGGTCATCAACCAGCCGCACGACGCCTTGCTGCAACGGATGATGAGACGAAAGCCATGCGATATTTGCAGACCGGGAGTCCCAACTGGACGTGAGATGTGAGTTCACGTTCGGTGGCAAGGGATGACTTTCCAGACCTTTGCGTTCCCCGAAGCCGTCGCCATTGAGTCGAAGAGAGAGAAGACAGGGGAAGGAAGAGCGGGTTTGGGGAGAACAACCTTTGCCTTACGAGGCGCGGAAGTCTCCAGAACCAGGGCCTTTGGTGGAACCTAAAGAGGCTGATCGGTGTGATAGGATTCAGGGCCTAAGAAAGCGCACAGTGGCTGGAGAGGCGTGGGGACTCGGCATGCCGTGCCTGTGTTGGTTGGCCGGGCCGGGAGTCTGCCCAGGAGCTGATTCGCAGCGCAGGCGACAAACGTTGAACGATGGTGAAGGAACCGGCGGGCGTGCAAGCGAGGGCGGGCACTCCAGGCTCAACGGCGATGGTGGAGTGGCAATATGGATCTCGGGGCCATCGCTCAGAGACTGGTGGGTGTGAAGATGACAACAGGTTATGGCCGCAGCTTCCCTCATGGACAGATGTTGCTTTCCTGCTTGGGCAGTCGTGCCTTCCTTCGTCTCGCTGAAGGAGGGCGCCACCAGCGCTCGTCGCAATCTTCCGCGTCGGACGGGTACTGGCGCTCTCCTCGTCCTCATTCACCCCATCCTCCCCCATCCTCTTCTTCCACACAACGAAAACACCCACAGATGGACAACGAACTCTCATCCCCCCTCCCCCCCCGTGCAGAACGGGATGCGATGCAATGCGATGCAGTGACGCCAAATATTTGGTCAGTGGCCCGTGGCATGTGCTGTGTCCGACAAGGCGGCACCACCGCCGGCCCGACACCCGCTGGTCCACAGAGGCCATGTCAGCCCTCAGCGACCACACCCCCCATCCATCCCACCGTCTCCACCATCCCTGACATCCCCTGAGAGGCATCTGTTCAGCCCCTGCTGGGTCTCGCCCCCCATGGCCAAAAGTAATTCACGCCAATGGGCCAAGGTGTGCCGATTCCCCGGGATGCCTTGCATGTCACCCGCAGATGCGCTTGCGCTCCGCACGGCATGCAAGATGTGCATCCCCGCTCATCATGACCTCTTCCACAAGCACCCCCAAGACATCCTTCCTGCAGCCTTTACGGCTGACGAAACAGAGTCGTTTTCTCATGTCTCTGGGTGTCACCACTGCCAGCCTCTTTCTTCCCACTGCTTCCACGTTGCAGAGCGCCAAGGTATCAACCTTCGCAGCAGGCGACCACGCTAGTCTGTACTACTCCAACCCCGGGGTGCTGCGGCGAAGCAATTTGGGACTCCGACCTTCTTCACTTCATCATCTCCGCTCCGCCCATTTGACTCTGCAACCGACGTTCCACCTTCCTCCACCCGTGACATCGTGACGAAATGGGCAGTGACTTGTTCCGACTCCAACGGGACTCGCTTCCGTCATATAGCAATGCCAGTCGCACACCCCGAACCACCACCCTTCATTCACCTCCACAAACGACGCAGCTATCTCCATCCCCCATTTTACCCACCATTCTATCCCCAATTCTATCTCTCAATCCATCGTCCAATCTTCTTCTAGACTTCTCATCAGCGAGACCCTCCCCCTCTTTCTCTTCTCCCGCCACAGCAGAGCGGCTCGGCTTTAGCTCTAGCTCTAGCTCTAGCCTTACACACCCGCTAGTGCTAGACGTCGACCGTGACCCACGCCCACAAACCGCCTCTGCTGGGTCACGTTGGACAGCAATCAACGGTCTAGCTCACCCAGAGAGGCCATCGGACTCCCTAATACATGTCACATCAGCAACGACGGCGGCTCACGGCTCCTGCAGCAGCCCAATTCGTGACGAAATCGAAGTGTCTTCGTCTGGGCAACGTCATTTCCACCGCCATTCAATTTCCCGGTCCAGTGTGCCCCAGTCTCCTCACAGCGCCAAAGATCAACCCAGCTCTTCGCCACCGTCAGCTCGAATATCGTTCAATGCTATCCGCCAAGACTCAGCCGTCTCTGAACTCTCCGACTGCATATCACGCCCAAAACAAGACCCGCCTGCACTAAGCCCGTTACTTCCCGCATCAGCGATCAATCACATTCAACCAGCATCCTCTACCTGGCTATCCACTATTTCTGTTCCATACAGGGCGTCCTCCACTCCACCTTCGCTCTCCCAGTCACTTCCCAGTCCTAGCAGGAAATTCCCACCCCTTAATGTGGATGCAATAAGTTGCGAAACTCATCGAGCAAATGACCAGCCGAAACCGGCCCAGTTGAACCCTGACTTGAAACCTATTTCCAACCAGATGAAAAGGGAGAAGCGCATGTCCTACCCTCTGTACAGGCAGCATCCTTCATACAACGCCCCGCTTCAGCAGAAATCAGATGCACGATCGTACCCAGCAGGTCCGAAGGAAATCGCACCTGGGTCTTCGACATCATCGTCTACGCAGACAGACGACTATCTGCAGCGCCCACGGTACGTTCGATCTAGTCAGCAACCAATCACCATCCCTCCAATTACACTTATCACAGGCTCAACCCAGCATTCTTTGGGCCCAAACTCCGTGAATCTACCAGGTCCTCAACTTTGTGGCGCCAGGGTAGTAGCTCCGGTCGAAGATAACAAAGACCAGCACAGCAATCCGATATCAGGTCTTGCACCCCGAGCCCATACTTCAATCTTCACTGCTCCATCCCCAATTAAACAACCCCATCAACCTTTCCCTCTGGCCTCAAACGAGAGCACTCAGCCAAATTACCAACAGTCGCGTTACCCCGCTGTTACACAAGCCAATCATAGATCGCCGCCACCCACTTCGCTTTCCCGAGCCCCAACACGGCCGCCACAGTCGCAAATGTCCTCAAACCATGACCACACACTGTGCGGCAGACCATGGAGGCCTTCAGCACCTAAATTCAATCCTAATGATACCACCCTCGTTCCAGTTCGCCCAGTTGAAACATTAGCCGAGTCCCTCAGATTACAACAGGGGCTGTCCGATATGTGTCGAAATCATAGTCAAGAACAAGCTCGAGGATGCCTTTCACCGCCGCCTTCGGACAGCCTCCGCGGCCTCACTCTCAATCTTCCACAAAGAACCCCTTCGACAGGATCTGAAGGTGCAATGAGGAGCAACAAGCGGAAGGAACCGTCCGATCCACCGTCTCAAGGCCAATCGCAATCATCGAAGGCGCCTAGAATAACTCCTTCTGAATCAACCCCGGAACCAACCCTTCCCTTGTGCTTGGCTCGAATACTCGGCCAAGGCGATCCACAGCCATATGTAAGACCGCCGATGGACTGGACCAACATGTGGATGTCTCCACAGGACATTCCTGATGGTGAGAGCGAAACACCACCTAGGCGAAGCAGGTCGAAGTCGAGGGAAAAGAGGTCGAAAGCGGCTGGAGGGTGACAGTGACATTTAGCAACCTGGCTAGGGCAGCCGAAAAGAGTTCTCCGGTTCTGACCCAGCCATCGTAGTCTCAAACGACGCTTCCGAGCCCTACGATAGGTAGACACTTTCTGTGTAGGCATGCTTGGACGCACTCGAATCTCCATAGCTCGAACCTCGCACCTTCGTCATCCGCTTCCCCACGCTCAGACTCCAGTATTCTGCCGTTTCAATCTCACTTCTGGATCCCTACCCTCACAACTACACCCATTTCGCGTCATGTACTCTCTCACGCACCGCACTCCGGCTCCCGGTCACTCGGGCGGTGATAGGCTTCGTAACCCGAAGCTTTTTATGTAGACTGGCGTACTGGAGGAGAAGCTACTGACATCTCCTCGTTCCTGGCAAAAAATTTCACGCCCAGTCAAGCATTTCTTGTCTCCGAGTAACCGAGGCTGCATTAGCTTTCTTTTCATCATTATCCGCGATATTTTAGGCCCGCATCGTTTACATAGATGGAGATGATATCCCTCCATACGTAACATTGGGTTGTGTGCCAGGGTGCATTAGTTCGGTTCCTGTTTCGTGTCGATTATACCCTTTCGGTTACTGTCAGATAGCACTTTATAGCATGGCATCAATACTTCGCTATGTATCTTCTCCGTAGTTTAAAGTGACCACACATCCGAGTGCGAACGGTGCTCTTGATATCGAAATTTTGAACAACTTCTCGCCCTCCATTCCTATCTTCCACAGTACACGATATATTCATCGCTTGTTCCAAATAGCATGCTTCCTTGCAATTGACTCATTCGCTCCGTGTCCCTATAACCATGATCGCGACCAGCTGTATAATATGTGCAGCGGTGAGAGACTGGAAGGTTTTAGGGAATTACACCTGTCTTTTCGTTCAGCTTGGTTTTCCGCATGCCACTATTATGCACAAGACTTCCAGCTCTGCCATGGCAAACTCCCCTACTTTGCTCGCATGCATTAATGTCTAGTCAGATACTTTCAAAACTACCCTCCCTCAATGCCTCACTCCAGAGTGTGCGCACCAGCATGGTTTACAGCCACTAAGTTTCACTACTCAATGTCGACCGTCATCCAGTACTTCTTAGGTTACAGATGCATGCATGCATGCAGGGACAGTAATCAATCTACGTAGTATAAACAGCACCCAGATGAGACGAGACTGGGGTTTGCAGGCCGAAATCGAAACATATCGAGCCCAGGTAGATAAGAGCTGAGCTTCGTGGCAAGGTCTAACTCATCTTAGAACGCTAGCCCCCAGCTCGAACACGGAGAAAGGAAGGAATTGGAACGGGAGGGTAGGTTCCTCGGCCTCAGACTGAGGATTTGCAGAGGAAAGGAAAGGGACCCTAGGAGCGATGGTACACGTAAGGAGGGGGTGTGTAACAACGCAGCGGAAGAACCGGGGCAGGGACGCTGGTGGGGCATGCGCACGGTTCAGAACGAAGGCGGAAGATTGTGGCACGCTGGGACAAACTCGCACAGGAAGTTTCTCAGGGGGGGCTGCAATTTCTGTAACTACATGGTCGTTTATGCGAAGGGGTGGACGTATATATGCACGATTGCCTGGAAATGGATTTGGTTTGGTAGTGGTGGAGATCGAAATTCGTAAAGAAAGCATCTTTCTTGTGCAAGAGTCGCGTGTCACACCCTTTCTCCCCCTCAACTCTTCTGTTAGTACAGCGCTACGTAAATCAAAGGTATACAAGCGGTTCCGCTAGCATATGTAGCAGGTACTTAACCGGAGTTTAGCTGATCATCTACAGATCATAGGTAGACAATAAAGGATTGGCTATGCTGGCTCGTCATCGAACATGAGCGGTGTGAAAGAGAGGACTAGCATTCGGGAGGCGACTATATGGCTTGCAAATATTGGCCGAGCCTGGTGTCATAGCCATCTCAGGGCCTCGAGTTGGAATCTGTTTTTTAAAAAAGGTGATAGGCGGTGATAAGCAGGGAATCAACAACCCCGGAGGGACAGGCAGGAGCTCTTTCATGGTCGTCTTTCGACAGTATCGTTTGGTTGGTGGAAACTCAAAGCAAGCTTATGACCATTGACTCATCCTGCAAAGTGTGCTAATTCTCGCCAATCGAGCCTCACCGGTCGGCTCTCACCAGTCGCTGTGCAGAAGCTGGGCGAATGTTGCGCAGTACATCGAGGTGTACAAGCCCATAAAAACAACTTCACAGCGCATTGCAATATATTCTTGTGGAGGCTTCCGGATTTTAGATCGCTGGACTAATCCATATTTACTCAAGAATACGGATTCATCGTGTTTCCCAGGTTCAACACGAGCACAATCAAGTCTTTTTCCGGCCACTTTCCCGCTTTCTCCGCTTTTGAAGGCCTTTATCAAGAGAAGTCTGGGTTTCCTAGCCCATGTGAGGTCCATCAAGTGTCGCTTTCGGATCTGCAAGGCGACGCGACTTGGAAAAGCGGGCATCGACGCGAGAAATGACACGTATCGGCATGTTGCTCCGCGAAGCAAGAAACCTGCTGCGGGGACGTGGGGTGCATGATGGAACACGGGTCTAGAAGTCAGGTTGAGATATGAAGCGTAGACAAACCGTGGGGTTGATCTCGGAACCCCTTAGAGTGCTTCCTAGAGCTAGCAGATACAGAACAGAGACCTGTCTCCATGCTGAACCCCCAGGATCTAAAGACTTATCGTGTAGTGGGCCTCGCAGCCAGCCCATCTAGAAGTTGCCTGAGTATTGAACCGCATCATAATGGAGCTGCAGCGGTATACCCCCAGCATATACGATGCGTCACAATGCTGAAAAGCTCCATGACACGTCAAGCCCTTAGTGTATGTCTGAATGCATCGTAGAATGTCCTTGTTGCATGCGTATTTATTTATTTGACGTTCTAGAGGCATCGTCAGGACGTTGTTATATCCTTGAATGTACTAATGTATTGGTGGTTGTTGAGGTAGATGCAGGCATTCTCCCAGGTAGAGGAGTGCTCAGCTAGTCTCTTTGTTGGCCTTCGAGATGCAAAAGATCGGAACACTAGTGGCGAAGTGACTGGATAGAGATATGTGCATAAATCAGATATCCTAGCATGTCGTCGTCTGCCTTGTGACTTCAAGGGTGAATTCGCCGAACCATGAAATCCTTTGATTTCCGTTACGGAGCTACCCGCTCGATACTTGTGAACTCGGGGAAATTCGATGGCCTCCAATATGTACAATGGGCCTTCAAGGCAAGGAGAAGTGCGAGCAGGGTGCGGTCGCAATGATACGGAAATCATCTACAACCATGAGCTCCACTGGAGGGGTCATTGCTAGCAGCGGAAAGCCACCCAAGCCCCCCCCTTTCGTCCGATAGTTAAGTGACCGCTACAGCGCTGATGATCTGTTGCTCTCTGCTAGGGGTTAAGCAGAGGAAGTGATTCCCTACCCTCTTAATTGGAGCTTCGTCGCTCTAATTGTATATATCCCCTGCGCGCTCGGCTTGATGGGAGTAGCCGCTTCAGGACGACTACGATTGCGGAACGCCTGTGAAGCCTGCCTGGATGTGCTCATCCGAGAAGGATTCGCTTCGGAGAAGAGTGAATAGATCGAAGTCTACACAACAAGAGGTGATACAGAAGGAGCGCCTGCATGGCTGACCCTAAGGGAAGCCAGGGTCCACGGCCCGCGCCGACTGAGATCTCCTCCGAACCCGTTCGCAACAGATATCGCGACCTAGGTAGTTTTGTTACTATATCATGGGTGGCATGTTTGCAAGGCCATGGGAGCAGTCAAATTGTGCGATATTCTGACCCGTGAGAGGTTTCTCCCGCTTCCCCGTGTTAACATCCTTACTGCTTTGCTACAGCGAGTGATCAAGCCGGGATATGACAAGGAAGGATTTTAGTTGTAGGGCAAGGGTCTTAATATTAGTCCTTATAATGTCTGCGCCAAAGGGTAGAGCCGGAGGTCCAGCGAAAGGACACAGTTTTTTTTTTCGGGCTGGCGGAGGAGCGCGGTGCGGTAACCGCAGGTGTCGGGCTGTCATTTGCGTGGCGTGAGCGGGAAGATAATCAACCGTAACACAGCATTCTCAATGAAAACAAAAGTGTCGGGAATCAACCCAATTTGAGAAAAGCTTGCATGGTGTTGCATCAACTGAGGAGCTCAAGGTGTGTGATTGGAAGAACGCGAAAAGCAAAAAACTGGGTCGACAATTGAAATCCTGGACGCTGAGATTGAAAAGTTCCCTACCCGATGAATCCACGTTTTCACTCTCAATCACTTGCATCGTTTATTTCTCCGGGGTCTTGTACCACCTACGAGACATCAGGCCCGGTCACACATCGTAAATGATAGCGGAGGAGAGCGCAATACGAGCCTTCCTGGGGGAAACTTGTCTGTTGGAAGGAGGCAATGCCTTCGGAGTTTGGATCGACATTTCACCAGATAAATTATTGCTATAAGTTTTATGCGACTGGAACCGAAGTTGGAGGAGACTTGATCGGAATGGCCTCGGGGCTAAATTGCCTAGCTTAGGGCTGGGTCACGTCAAACCGACGGACGAAACATCAAGGTTGCTAGCCATACCTACGGACGACGCACATTGCGCTGCTGGTACGTCTTCAGGGGCCTTTCCTCGCGACAGAGGATCCACCTCGTTACAGAGAACCAGGCTTGCGGTGAAACAAGAACTGCCGACTTCTGGCCAGCAGAAGAGGCATGATACACGACGCAAGGGGTCTCCCGCGAGATTCATTCGCAGTGAGAGGCAAGCCGAGATGCACTCAATGTTCTCGGCGCAAGGACTAAAGATGAATAAGATTGAACATTTTCTGAGGAAACGTTGAGAGGAAGCGTCGGGGTAAAGCCCGCAAGGATTGCAGACGCTGGTACCTAGCAAGTCGAGGTTCAGTTCGAGGAGTCCTATCAGTTTCTGTTCGATCTTGAATTAAAAACAACCATATTTCAAACGAATTACCTTCTTCTATTCCTGATATATCTGCCATTGAAAACGGAGATAGATAGCCAGATGCAAAAGAGCGATCCAGATAAGCGACCCTCTTGATCGGTTAGCGTTGCGTCGACCATTATTGAAGGGGCGCTAGTGGTGTGATCATCTCCGAAAAACCATCCGTTAGAAAGAGGGATTTGTTGTCAGACAGCTCTCGCTGCGGTGTAAGTCTGCGAGCAAACAAATGTTCATGGAGGACGACATCTCGGCCTTTGAGGCGACATTAGCGAGAAGGGGCCAGCGAGCGCGATTGGCGGGCCGACTTGATTGGGCTTAAGGTACTATATAATGCAGGGTGGCTGAATTAAATCGAGAGCCTTAGACGTGCCTTCCTGGTCGACCCTAATGGAGTGGCGTCCCCCTAAGTTTGAATTCGCAACAACATTACCTGAAGGGCCGATCCTTCCTATGGATATCGATAACGTTAACATAAGTAGCCTTCGTTATAGTCTTATTATAGTATATTTATCATTTACTACCGAACAGCAGGAATAGAAGTCCTCTCCGCTGGGACCTAAGACGAGGACGTTCCTCGCCAATGAGACAGGGTGCCTTTCGGTAGGTGGAGAGCACGAAGCCAACCTCTTCTGCGATGATATTGATGGAGAAACAAAGATGGGAAAGATATCGATGGCAAATTTGACGTTTGAAGTTCGCATCCGATAATCGCTGACTAGGCTGAAATGGGGACGGCGAGGTTCTCGGCACGTGATCTTGTGAAAGAATCCATAGATGCAGCGCTTCCAAGAGTCCAGGACTTAGAGTAGGGGAAAAAAATGAGCTTTATATTTTAGTCCCTTGTAAAGTCAACTAAGGCAGTTGATTTTATAAATGTTCCATAAGTTCACTACCCAAAACGCCGTCGACGAAGGCAACTCCACGAAGTCCCCACCAGGAGAAACTGAAGAGAGCTGTGCAACGCATCTAGTTTTTGCGTTGTATACTATATAACGCGTACTAGCTTATATACATATAATCGCATAATTCGACCTGGAATCCCCGGGGCTCACCCAAGGGCCTTAGCGTTCTTGTCTCTCTCTTCCTTTATTCTTTAATGCCCTTTGCAGTAGAAAAATTTGAGGATGATAGGGTGGGAACGAGGGTGATTGATTCAGCAGACGTGTTTCGCTGCGAAGATTTTCCTCTTCTTCCGTTGCCTAGATTCTCTCCCGGCCACCAAATGCACGAAACTGGCTTAAAACGCAATAGGTTCGTCGTTTCAAAGTGGAATCGAGTTGTCTTAGTGTCTGTACTATGATTTTCGGTTCCTAAGCGCTTCTAGTTATGATCCCACACCTTCAAGAGGCCCTGACTTGATCCAAGTCTATTCCAAGCATTTTTGAACACGAGAACCTAAGTCCTCAGTATGAGCAATCAATATAGGCATAAAGAAAATTTATGTCGCAGCGTGTCCCGAAATACGGCGGAATAAGAGTCTTAGAAGAACGTAAGTGTGGTCGAGTCAAACCGTACTGGAGTTTGAAGCTTTGCGAGACATCTATGTATTTATCGTGCAGACGAATCCATACGTAAATTATATCCTGTTGCATTATCGAATTGCATATATCGCCCCCTCGTTTGTGTATCTACAATCCCCAATCAGCGTCTCCCCCTTTTCATAGAAAAATAATCAACATTTCGATTTAAGTACCTGCCTTCGTTCCTAAACGAACAGCCCTCCTAGGCTTCTGGTCACTCAACCCCTTACTTGCACAACAGTAGCCTTAACGCAGACAATATAAACGCAAAATATTGACAGGTACGTGCTGCCATCCATAAACGGATGCCAAAGAACCTAATTCCCTCCGGATGCTCGGTATCGAAAGTGGACCCGTTCGAGGCAGGCAGGGATACTCTTTCTGCGCCTGGGTTTCTAGCAAAATTCATTGTGAGCATTCTGAGCATACAAATAAGCTGATTCGATATGTCCGTAAGTGTGGGGGAGACATGTAAAGGAAAAGTGGTCGGGCAGGTCGGCTTCGGGACCATTGAACCGTTCACAGGAGTAGAGCCTAAGATGATAGGGGGGTTGGGCCGTCTTGTAGAGGGCTGATCTGTCTCCACGATTGTCAAAACCGAATTGCTGCAGCGGTGATGGGGACAGACGGCGAGTGGAGAGCATTATCGTTTCGGGTGCTGCTCACCGATCGTGCAGGATTTAGATTAGTCGGAGCTTCTAGTGTGGAGGAATTCTCTTATGGATGTATAGTAGAGCATCTTGGTGCTAAGATTCGCGAGAAGGGTCGCATTGCGGTTTTCGCCTTCAGATCGTCTAATTCGGCGGCCTGGAGTATATGGTGCTTTACAAAGTATGCAATAGCGGAGTGCAGGTAGGGCAGCACCGTGATTGCAAGACGTTTAGTTGTTTCTTTCGTCCTTTGCCATGCATCGGAAGTTGGCTTCCGCATCCTCCTATCTTTTCAGACCTGAACCTCCCTGCGCAGTAACCGGTGTTCAATGCGAGAATCGCGATGATATGCACAGCTAGGGAGAGATCTGGCTGCGTTAAGTTTAGACCTGCAGAGTTCCCATGCTGACAAATGCCCAATCAATGTGAGACTGGACGGTTGTCCTCTAGCCAGACAGGCCCATGTCCACGGTATTTCAACATTTGTGGCGATCCAGGAGCCACGATGTTGGGTCATTTCAAGTTGAAATCCCACGAGGCAGATTTCCGCCTTAATTTGCCGTGTTTGGTATCCATGAAGTGCGCCTCAGCGGCACATGTCGGTGTTGGCTTCTAAGCTCATTCGTATTGGGCAGTAAGACAACGATCAGATATGCGACCGCAGTCAATTGGTCCTATGACTGACTAAAGTGGCTAGACAGATTGGCGAGTAGAGAAAGTCGTGGCGAGGTAGAGCTTGGACGGTGTTGTGAGCTGTGGGGTGGGCCGGGTTTCAGGTCAGCGCGCGGTTGCGAAACGAGGAACGCGGGGGGGCGAAAATACAAGCCTTCAATACTAATAAGGCAAATGCATCTTCGGGTCATAAAAGCGAGAGAATGCTCAGTAAAACCGACCATTCCCTATTTTTCTACATTTTCCAATCAGGGAAACCCACGGAAAGGTGGTTGGTAGTCTTTCCGTCCATTTACACTGCCAGATTCGGGGAAGTGAAGGTTAACGGGGTGTAGCCCATTAATGTCTCAGTAACCTAAAGCTCTTCTAATATAATTGAATACTGGCCGGTTCTGATAGTCACAGATCCCGTTGTAGGAAGCTATATCAAAAGAACTAGAAATGCTCCATGCATTGACAAGGCATAATAGTTGATTGTGAGTAGTTGAACCAAGCTTTTTAGCTCCATGCGGAAATAGTGGATCTAAAACTTGTCGAGGGCTTTGCGGGAGGCATTCCTTCGGAAGGTTGTCATCATAATTCTGGTAGATCACCCAGGACACCCTTGTGACTGCATGATGATCTAAATAAAGATCCGTACAAGGCCCCACAGTAGTCGAGGAATATCCGTTACCAAGGCAGCTAGAACATACCAAGGTATCAAAATGTGGAACTTCTCAAAATCAGGCTGCAAGCGCTTCGCTGAGCGCCTAATGAGCTCGCTTGGATTGGCGCACTGCAAGAAAGAACCAACTTCTATTCAAACCAACACCGAAAAAAGTGAAGCCTGGTCTTCGCGAACGACTCGCATACTTTAACCTAGCCTTATGAGAAGATGCAGCAAGAAAACGCGTTTGGGGGATTCATCTAGCCTCGTCTGAAGTATGTCTTGGCACACTTCAGCACCTGTCAATGGCCAGCGGTGTAGGCAGGCCGTATCATCTATCCAAAACTGATTTCGTGGGGGCCATGAAAGTTGATCGACAAAATGGCGTTTTCCCCGCAAGGCAGACTTACGCCCAGGAAACGGGCTGTTCGTCTGAGTACCGAATATTATGCAGTGTTGTAGTTTAAGGCCACACCGTGCACTTCTGACCCAGGATGCTTGCGCCACAGTGTAGATAGGGAGCTGCTGAATTCAGTCTCGTGACTAAACTCTTTGATATTCCGTCGAACGTAAATCCTGATTTGGGACTGTCACCGAAGGTAATGAGGCCGACGACGCTGGTGCACTGCAATGCTAGAATGAGACAAGGTCTATAGCTATACCCTTACGATGGGACGGACGCAATTGGTGATACATCACCAAAGGTACGCAAAAAGATTGTTGAATTCTTGAGGCGGCGGGGTGTTCACATTCTTCAAGGGTTGGCATCGGATGACGACGGGCGAAGACTGGTTTCCCTCTTTTGCGCTAGGCCAGTTCGGTGGAGCCCGTTGTCGATCCACCGAATGTTGCACCTTCCCCAACCTTATTCAAACCTCCTCTTATTCACCTTGGATGATCATACACAGTTCCGCGCGGTGTCTGAATGATACATTCTAAATACCGTCTTTATCTTGGTCATCAGAAAACTGTCGGCGAGATTCTCACTTCCCGCCTCCGTTGATCCTTGGCAGGGGCTTGGCATAAGCGGTTGTCCGTCGCGTCCGCCAACTTATCCGTTCCGCCTTGGAAGGCATTCCTACTTTCTGTTATGCTCTACCAGGTCAAAAGCCCCGGTGGAATGCTCCTCCCCCTTCACCGGGCCAGAAGCGGCGTGGTTGCGCCGCCGAGTGGCAGTTCAGATGACTCCTGTCTTACGCTCTCGCATGTCAATCCGCAGCTCGGCCTTCTTTCGCACAAGGTTGCGATAATCGCTCCATGCGGGTTGTCTCTTACCTGACCTCATGAATTCCTTTACCGTACACCGAGCACCTGTTCATAAGGTCTACATTGAAGCCCGGGCCAGCGCACGCTCTTTGGCTTTTAGCGGCACGGGCTGCATCATAGACCCGACATGCACTAAAATTGCAGCGGTATTGCACGCCCTCCACCAAGTGTCCCTTCGGCCTCAGAAAGAATTGGGGGCTATTCTTCAGCTTTCCTTTGCAGGACCCAGCCAGAATGCGAAGTCTGCCTAATTGTGGAGCAGTCTGTCTTGCATTGCTTGAGGAAATTTACCCATAATCAGGGAGTTCCCAAAGCTCACACAGGGCAACAAAATTCAAGACCGTAGTAAGAACCTGGAAACCATGATGTTTCGCTCACAGCGGTTGGCTGTGCTTTCGAAAACCCATGCATAGCACACTTCTAAGCTCCGTCGGCTTGTAAGTTAGTTTCGCACTTGCATGGAAGCTCGTCGAATAACTGATTAAGCCGCTAAATGAGGCTAGAGCAGAAGCTAAATCTAGTTGAACATCAAGGATTTTTCCTAGTACTTTCGATTTCACGCGGAGCGGATTCGGCCGTATGTTTGTTTGTCTAGTCAGCCCATCACAAGGGCCATCACAGTCCGATTCAGCAGCTAGGATGAACTGCTATGCCAACCAGACGCCAGAGGCCGCACATCCACCCTATAATGCGCCAACGGGAGCAAGTTCTAGTTTCCCGCATCAATTCAGAATCGCACAAATTTTCTAGACCCATAGGAGCTGAGTCGGTTTCCTGCCTAAGGAAATTCTTCATCTAAGCAAGTTTCCCATTTTAAAGTTAGGGAACGTGCGCCGCCGCTTTCTCCGCATGGTCTGTAGCTTCAACTACTGCATTAAACGTGCCACCGGGCTGTTAAATAGAGCGTTAGTTCCGGTGCCCAAAATAGCGAATGGTTGGGGCGTAACTCAGCCTGGCGCTTGGAACCTTCGCCGATCACGTGATCGGCCAAAGCTGTCACCTTTTCGCACGAGAGACAGGCGCCGATGCTCCGATCCGATCATTTATTCCCATTCATCACCATACATATCCCACGCATGAATTCGCACGAGTTGCGTTATACTATTCCAATCCGCATCGTTTCCCACTTTTTCGTCGCTAACCGCTTCTGTCTCCATTTGTTTGCTAAAATCAGCTTCGCGAACACAATGGCATCAAAGTACGAGAGCCGAGCAGATGCGCCAACGATTACGCGCCGAAGACATGTCCTAGCTTGTGCTAGATGCAGAGCAAGACGAGTGAAGTGTGATAGAGCACAACCGGCATGTTCAAACTGTGCAAAGGTAGGCACGTTGTGCCAGCCAGCACAGCAACAGACATCTTTACCCCAAATTACCGTTGCACCACGGCCAGGCAAGCCAAAACCTGCTGATAATGCCCGGTTATCGAAACTCGAGGATGAAGTCGCCCGATTATCAAGAGAGGTTGACAGCTCAACTGGGGAAGTCTCTCAAGATGTGTCTCCCGTAGACACCGGTGATCAATGGCCCCTCGATGCACCCGGAAAGCTTTTTGCTGGGGCCAGTAACAGGTACTTCAGTCCATGGTCATGGGCATCTGTGGCTGAACAGGTCTGTATCAACACGGCCTCTTGTTCTCGGTGATTGCTAATAACTATGCAGCTCACGGATATACAAAGCACTCTTCAAGCGAACCCCGGCGATAGAAATGTAACTAAGTCTCCTGCCTTGCAGAGATCTAGTGTTCGCCACTCGATTCTATCAAACGAAAGCCATGAATCACCACCTCTAGACGATCAATTGCATGACCTGCTTCTTAATATCTACAGTCATCGGGTAGACCCGCTGATACGAATACTACACTGGCCCACCTTTCTGAAACGATGCCGGTTGCTCCATCCTCTAAGATCATCTCATTCTCGAGCCTCACCAGTCTCGCACTACCCGAGCGCCTATTTCCCCAACCCGTCCTTTGGCACCTCCGACCCAGGAATAGTCCCGAATCCTCACACTGTACCATCTCAAGGGCCACCTTCATTCTTTAGCTTGGCCACCTCGTCAACACCTGATGATCCTTTTCTCGCGCTTCTATCTTCAGTCTATTATGCTGCTGTTCTGTCCGTAATCAACAATCCATCTTCCCAAGAACTAGGCCAAAAGTTCAACCCGCTAACTCTCGCCCCAACCTTGAAAAAGGAGGTATCAGACAGGATACTCTCTCTTGACGAAGGTGTGATCAAACACCCATCCATTGAGAATCTCCAAGCCTTAGTCCTCTTTCTGGTAAGAAGTTAGCTGTGGGGTCATGATTTAAACTAACAAGTTTGGTAGTCGGTCGATTCAAATTCATTCGATCCATATGTGCAATGGGTTCAGATCGGAACAGCAGTGCGTACGGCCCAATTTCTTGGCATTCACCGGGATGGGACAAGCTTTGGATTAAGCCCTATTGAAGTTGAAGTGCGGCGCCGTATCTGGGCCCAGATCTGCATACTTGACGCCCGATTTGCGGAACTTCTAGGTTGCGAACCTAGCATCAGTGTATCCTCGTATGATACTTGCCTTCCCTTAAGCATATGCGACCGGGATCTTACCGAGATCGACGAACAACAAAGAGCATCGATACAGGGACAAGAAAGAAAATTCAAGACTCTTCAGGAGATCGAACAAGAACAGGAACAGTACTCGCCCTTTTCGACCATGACATTCACTTTAATAGAAGCCGAGCTAGCTCGGTTGATGACTCAACTTTTCGGTAGCCGATACCGCTCTCGCGACTCGATCTTCCTCGGTTCGGTCCAGCCGGGTCAATGGGCCCCGAGTGAATCCGCACTCCAGTCGGACAGAGTTCGTTGGATCAGACGTCTTGAGCATCGCTTCGAGACTGTTTACCGCCTCGATAGCCTCGATACGACGAATCCTATACAATTCATGGTGTTGGAGACAATGAGAATTAGGATAGAGCAGGCTAAATTCGCTATCCGTTTGATGGAGTGGAAAGATATACATGGGGGGCCTGGTGGACTGGGAGGTGCCCCTGAAATGACCCAGTACGTTCTTCTTTCCTTGTATACCTTATCCACACTTTTGTTAGCCTTAAGGGAGACCGTGTAACATCGATGAAGGAAATTGTGGACACCGAAGTTAATAAACACGTGCAGCCTTTTTCGCGATGCAATTGCCTTGACCTCACGGACGCTAGCTCTTTCCAACCGGTTCCCCACCTCGCCATATAGTTGGTATATAAAGCGTCTGAAAGAAGCTTACACACCTTCATTCCTCCTCTTCGCCCTTACATCAGGAGGCACCATGGATCAAGGGGATGTGGCTCTTGCGTGGGCCGTTCTAGACCAAATATTTCCAGTTGATTCTGTGGGACGAGCACAGGAACAAGGCGTCGAACAAAGCCCGCTCGGTGTTCTCTTAAGGCGGGCAAAAGAGAAGAGGGAAGGCCAAGTTCGATTTCCTACTGCGCAAGACTTCCGTCAACAGGCGATGGAAGCTGCCGCTGGCAGTAGCCATCCCAATTTCTCTCCAAACGTAAACCCGCATCCAGCTGTGACACTACCTACAAATTCAAGCGGTATGGGAAACTTTCAACCTGGAAATCTATTCGAAGATTTTGACTCCATCATGCAAGATCCGCTGTGGTCTCCTGGACTTCCAGGTGCAGATGATGGATACGAGCCTTGGGTATGAATTTCTCCTTCTTTCTGTTGTCTTTTACGCTTTGTCTCCCACCCCTTCTCTCATATTTATTTTTTACACTGTCAGGACGTTTCTATTCCCCCCATACAGGCTTACGGCCACTGGCCTTGCAGCCTTGTTTCCATGGAGGGAACATGGCTGACAAGGTTTCTGTAGGGGCAGCATTGGCAGCATTGATCATTTCTCATCTTAGGATTTCCCGCCATGTAACCGCCTTTCAATTTAAATGTATCTTGTCCGGTTTAGGACATCACCCAAATTAACCAGCTGGCAGGGTATTCAGGATTCAAGAGCTCCAATGACGAGCATTCCCCTCCGTCCTCGATCTTGGGCCTGCGACCAGAATCACGCCCATACAATCTTAGAAAGTCGGCCCGATGCGTCTAACTTCGAATCCCAACCCGCCTCTACCCACTCGATTGCCGTGCAGAATCCAGACATACTAATAAGCTCCGACCACTCTGGGTATCCTGCTTTGATGCAGCCTTCACAGGTAGCGGCGTTTCATGGAACTGGTAATATTACATCGGGCCACCACCCACCATTTGTGATCAACTACCGACAAGCGGATGATGAAGCCAGAGAACAATACTTCCATGAGTGGCAGCAAAGCGCTATACCTCAGCAGCAGCAGCAACAACAGCATCGATCCACGCAACTACCACGACATCGCGCAACAGAGCTCAGACCGGACGAAGCTCCACGGAAAAGGTCCAAATCAATGATGTCCTCAACTGAGATGAAATACGTTTATTCCCATATACCAAGCAATTCTCCCGATTCAATCGCCCGACAAATTAGCGGACTTCGACCAGGCCAGCTTCTAAGACGATCCGCCACCGGTCCGAGCGAACGTACAGGTTGAAAAGCCAAATGAAATTTTTACCTTTTAAATGGACCGATTTGTGTGAGCTACATTTAGACAATTACCCACTATAGACCTTGTTTCATCCGGTACTTAGTTTTCAACCGTACCATCGACTCCAATCAAGGCGTTTTGTGTCAATAGATTAAATGACACTCAAAAAAAATTTTGAGCAGTGGTGGCTAAAGACATCGTAGAGGGGTCCGTTTAGGTGAACGGCCTCTGTTTCATTCTTGTATATACTTATTTTGCCTTGTTTCACAACCTTTTCATTGTAGACCTTTTGAGTATTTCTGTCTCCATTGCCAAAGCATTCACATCAGTTCTTTATCGCCACCCGATGAAAACACTAATTACCTTCGCCCAACATCTTTAAATTTTGTCCTCGATGAAAATATCTCCCTTCAAGCTTCCTTCGCCTTCGTTTGGGCTCAAGCTGCCACTCCCAACGGCTAGCCCTTCGTTGTCGAGCTCGGTCATGTGTTCCAAACTGCGGCCACGAGTCTCTCGCAAGAAGAAATAGACGTAAGGAAATCCGGTGACGTTAAAGACAGCAAACGAGATCCAGATCTTCCAGCCCACATTTTCAAACCCAATTGGGCCAGCATAGACAGTCAAGAATGCCATCAGCCATTGCGCGGACATACCCAGGCCGACGCCCGTGTGGCGATGTCGGAGGGGCATGGTTTCAGATATATAGATGTACTAGAACCAACGTCAGCCGGGTGATAGCCAACAATGGAAGAGGGCGGCCCGTACTGGTTGCGGCGCCCAAGTCGGGCTAAATACTAAGAACTAGCCGAATAGCATGGCTGCGGCCGCCGAACTTGTAGCTTTGGTATTTGCTGCCAACAGTCCGACGAACGCGGTCATGAAAACAGACTGCAAGGCAGATTCCCACAAAACCCACTTGCGCCTTGCGCCTTTTTCGCAAAAAATCGATCCGGCGAATGCACCAACTGCAAGCAATGTCGTTGCAGCACCCGAACATACGGATGCTGTGGTGGGAGCAAGGCCGATGTATACTTGGAAGATCGTCGTCATATAATGAAAGATCATGTTGATACCCATGAGATACGCAACTCCGACCAGTACTACTCCATCGCGGATACGAGTCACCGCCTTAGTCTCGGACTTCTCGATGAAGAAGTCTGAAAAGCTCAACTTCTCCCCGACTTCCTGCTTTAACTCAGTCTGGATCTCTGATGCAACCTTGTCTGCAAGGTGATTGTCCGTATAGATTTGACGAAGAACTAGGTTTCCTTCATCTAAGCGATCTTGAAGGAAGTACCATCTTAGCGAGTCGACGTTCAGAAAAATGAGAAGTATTGCAAGCAGTGACCAGATGATCTGCATCGCAATCGGTAGGCCCCATACAACTTGTCCTTTCGTATAGGTGAAGCCGAAATCGATCCAGTATGCACATGCAGTACCGGTACACGCAAAGCCCATGAGAATACCGACCAGTGGACCTCTTTGCTTTAAGATACCGGGGGTTTCTGCGATGTATACTGGGCCTGCTGCAACAACAAGGCCATTGCCAACACCCTTTGAGACCTGTTCAGCAAAATCCTGTTGCTCCTAGTGAGGCTGCTCACAATCAAGACACGACAGGCAATGAGCTGGCTAGTGGAATATGTAGATGTAGAGATGATGGTTCCAACGATTTGAATGGCAGCGCCTATCATGATCTAGACTCGTCGTCTGACGTGATCACTCCCTGGAGATGCAGTGATACAGCATCCGAGCCAAGAGGCCAATAGGAATGAGGCTACGACCATGGCAGTTGTTGTCGTGTCTGGCACCTGCGGATGTTGTTAATCACGCGTAGTGTATTATCTGCAGCGATCCATATAGAAACCTGGAATACCTTCATAGTGGATTGAAAGGCGGGTGTTTGCAGCACGCCTCCGAGTACACCTGCATCCCATCCATAGGACATGAATCCCATACGGACACCCCAAAAGACGAGCGTCGGATTGATTTTCGTAACCATATTGCCCACTGTCAACCGATTTGGAAGGAGAAGTTCTCAAGGTCTTCGGGACGACGGGCTCAAGATGACAGAGAATTCCTAGCAGAATGGGAACAAGCAGGATGTAGGTCCAAAGACAGGAGCAATAAGTCCTCAAATTTGATGAAAAGCAGTTGCAGGAATCCCAGGAACTGCAGGCCAGGATGTGGGATTCAAAGCCGATGAAAGGATTGGAGATTGTCCAGGATACAAACGTCCGGGGCCAAGTGACGGGGATGAACGAGCGAGGTGCACATTATTACCAGCATTGCTATTTTAAAGGTCTCCGGCGCTGGAAGCACTGGTGGCAATGCAAATCGACCCTCCATTCACTGAAGTGACATATAGTTTGTCTCCCCTTGAGTTAGGGTATTCTCTCTATGAACCGTGTTGGGATGAGTAGTTACCTATGATATAGCTAGCCATCGAATGGCACCGAAGTTTGAAGCTCGTATGGGGATCCACAAATGGTGCAGACATGCATCTGTGCTAGGATAGTCACATGCTGTGTTCGGGCGTTCACCGATCGGCATTCAGCCTTTCCACACCAAGACTAACACATGCACCTTGCTTTTTCGCAACCCTCGACAGTCCTGAGGCCCCTTGATGGAATGGACCCTGCACAATCCGTTATCCAGGCCAATACCATCAGTGGTTGCCAAACCGACGAGAGCACGAGCACCGCCGTGAGCGCAGACTTGATAAAGCTAATTGACATGCGTGATGGCATAGTTAGGAACGGTGAGGAACGGTCCGTGTGCCTCCCCGAACCCACGGGGATGGTTCGAAGCAGGGTTCATCCACTTAACCGACTTCTCCGTCGCAACTTTCGGCTCGGGGGAATTGCAGGGTACTACCCTGTTTCCAAGCCTACCTCCTCAATGCCATTACCAATCACTCCTACACCGCAATGTCCTCTTCTGAGGATCGTTGCCTTTCCGAGCAGGTTGTTAAGACCCATGCAGCCATCGGGCGTTTTTCTGACAAAGTCTGACAGCCGCCACCAGAACTCCACTCATCAGCACGAGCACGTTAATCCTTGCAAGTTGTACTGGGACAACTGAATCAGAACGATGATCTCTTAATTCTCATTTTGGACCCTTGAATCACCCCTCAGGAGCGTGGAGCTGCACCTTCAGGCTGCTCTAGTTGCTAGCATGCGGAGTGCGAGCGTGCCCAGCGAACTCATAAAATTTCCCCTCGTCATTTCGCTGTTTTCTCTCAGCCTCGCTCCAGTTTCCTCTTGTCATTGCCTTCTAACTTTTCAGAGATTAAACTCATTCTAAATATGGGACTCCTCAACACCTTCAATATCGAGGTCACGCTCTTAAATATAGCTACTACCTTTTGTGGCGCCATCTTTGCTGCCCTATTTTCGCGTATATTCTACAATCTTTACCTTCATCCTCTCTCAAGATTTCCTGGACCATGGTATGCAACTTCATTCTCCATCGTCGGAGCCATAATCTCGGTCAAAAAGAAGGAACCAGAGTTTTTTATGTATCTTGTGAAGAAGTATGGTTGTATGTGTGCCTAACTCCAATCCTGCAATTCCATGAATCCACTCCTTTTCATTCTTTTCATTCTTTTCTCCGATATCCTCGTCACCAGAATTTACGCCTTTCGCCCTGCAGATATTAAATGCAGTGTAACCAGGGATTTATCACGCGCTGACATCATACAGCCGACGGCCCTATCCGCATTTCGCCAACTATGCTGCTGTTTCCCCGCCCATCCGCACTTAAAGATATCTACTGGGATCCAAAATGCAACATGAAGTCGGGTCTGTACGGAACCGGGGCGCTGGGCCCTCCACATCTCTTCACGACTCTTGATGGTGAACAGCACAAAGCACTTCGGAAGGCCCTGTCGAATGCGCCATGGACTATCGGCCAGCTCAAGAATACATGGGAACAACGGTTTGATGACCAGGTGAATCTATTCGTAAAGAGGATGAACGAGCATGCTGCAGCCAAACGAACAGTATGCTTGTCTGACAAAGTCGCTGAGTTTGCTGCCGACATTATGAGCATGATCTCTTTCACGGAACCGTTTGGGTGCGTCGATAACCAACGGGACGAGAAAGATATTCTGTCTAATTGGCGCAAAGGTCTCGACTTCTTTGGCTTCGTCGGACGGTTTCGTTTCTTCAGAGAGAAAATTATCAAGCTACCAGTCGTCGGTCTCTGGTTCTTACCTGCTATCTCCAATGACTCCGGCATGGGATGGTTGATGTGCGAGGCTGACCGCCAAGTTTCGAACCGCGAGAGGCAGAATGCTGAGAAGCCTTTTGACGGAAAGCCGGACTTTATGCAGCAGTGAGTTTCTGCTCTCCTGCTGATTTTACCGTATGGCTAACATTATCAAGCTGTCTTGACGCCCGTTACTCCGATGGCTCCCCCCTAAGCCCCACGCAAAAACGAGCCCACGTTACGCTTCTTATTCAAGCCGGTGCTGACACAACTGGCACTGCTCTCGGCTCCATCCTCCGCTTCCTCGTCACCAACAAGGACGCTTTCCACCGCGCCCGGGAAGAGATCGATGCCGCGGATAACGCCGGCCTCCTCTCCACTCCAATCCTATATGAAGAGACCCGCCAACATCTCCCATTCTTCGCAGCTTGTATTAAAGAAGGTCTCCGTCTCAACCCCCCTGCCACTAACCTTTTCGCTCGTGTCGCACCTGTAGGCGGGAAATTCATTGATGGCCATTTCATCCCCGAGGGCACAGAAATTACCTCTCACGCCTACGTTGTGCAAAGAAACAAAGCACTTTACGGCGAAGATGCGGAACAATTTAGACCGGAGAGGTGGCTTGAGAGTGAAAAGAGGAGTTTTGAATACGAAGCTGCGCAATTCACCTTTGGGGTTGGACCTAGGGTGTGCCTTGGGAAGGATATTGCGGTAATGGAGTTGTATAAGCTTCTCCCTGAGGTCAGTCCTCCTGTTCCCAGTTAACATCTAAATTGTGGATTGGAACAATGGACTAACTTAACGCAGACAATTCGCCGGTTCGATATCGTCCTTGAAAACCCTGGTAGATATGTAGTGGCTGGAGGCGTAGCCTACAACCAGGACTTTATGGGCAGGCTTCTTTCGCGGAAAGCTCATTAACTCGCTCAAATTCACATATTACCATATTGGCGGTAGGAAATATGGTTGCGCACCATACGAGAGATACTGATTTTTCTTGTTAAAGTCCTGCCAGGAAGTCCATTGATTTTCTGAATAGTGTCTTCTCTCACATACCAATCTAGATTCAATCCGTCATTACCCCTGTGTTGAAGAGTCGCACAATCCTCCTCAACGTCTCAGCTCGAGCTCGTGGAAACTTCATTTTTCTCTATATCTCTAATCGTCGTAGATGTATTCGTCCCTATCACGAACAATTTCACCCACTTTTTCACGCCCAATAACGTCCATCTTGGTGATATTAGGAAAACTCATTGACATACTCCGAATATAGGTGCTGTTATGGCAAGCTGTGTCCTCGGCATTAGGCAGGGCTCGCCTCAGCGCCACTACGAAGTCAGGCTGTATCGCGTCCAGGATAAGGGGCCCCGGGGTTTGATCCTTAGCTTGTTGTTGCAGCTTGCATGAGCCCCACAGTATGTATTTGTCTACAGCAATCCTTTAGGATTTGTGAAAGAGGCACTGTTTAGAGCAGTTTGGTTAGATTTGGAAAGATTCCCAATGGGCCAAGCATTGAAGAATAGTGAACAAGGTTCTGCCCGTGCGGATTTGAAGCCGACTTCATATCTTAGATCTACTCTCCATAGCTCAAGTTGCTTATTCGACCGTTTGCTTGTGCAATTGCGGGGCTTTATGCTACGCTTAGCCCTCTGTGATCGGCAAAGGCCACGACAAAGAAAGATATTGGGCCGAGCTGCAGCCGAAAAGCACATTGACACCTACCCTCACAATCGAGAACTCGTGACGATCCTTATCTTAGCAGGTCAGCAGTTTAATAACACTTCAATCATTCATATAGCAATTTAATCTAACCTTTCTTCACCTCTTCCGAGCCGTTGCGATAGGCAGATGTCCGTTTTATCCTCCTTTCACCCTCTCCGCTCAATTAGTACCCTAGAACATCGACGGAGCTGCGTTTGGCTGCAATATCTACCTGACAACAGTACCTTCGATAAGAGTTTCATGTTACACTGCATTATAAATGGGTCGAAGAACTTGGCGAAGATCATCATGGTGTTCTCGAACGCGGGGACGGAGATTCGTCAGTGCGATTCATCCCCATGTCAGCGGGCCCCCACTAAAGCAGCAGAATGTGCGGGCTATGCAGAACGGGGTTGAGATGTGCTGACCGGTGTAAGCCTTGACAAAGACGTTTATCGTTTGTTCATAATAGCGAATCGGGGGTAAGGTTGCTTTTCTAGGGTGGTGAAATTGTGCTTTCTAAGAGTTCTGCCATGCCTTCCGGGGTCAATTGGCACGATTAAAAACCCTGGAGATTTGCACTCCTGCACACTCTCCACATCCATCGCAAAACTTGCTTTCGCATTCAATGCGGCTACCACCACCTTCCTTTCTCAAGAGCAAAAGAAAATAGCGGTTAGCTGTAGATCCAGTCCACAAGGGTCATCCCACGACGCCGGAAGACCCAAACCAACGGTTCCACAGGTTCAAGCGGACCACAATGCCTCTCCCGCCGATCACCACTTTCAATACATCCGTCTCGTCTCCGCATCTACCTCTTATGCCTATCCTTAACTTCATGGTAACGATCATCGATGGCTAGTGGGTGGAAGGGTGGAACGAGCGACGGTTTCTGCGACCAAGCTCGAGTTCTCGGCGGCACTTGCGGATGTGAGATGGTGAGATGTCTGAGACGTTTTGAGGCGAGATCAGCGCTTCCAACGAGCCGTAGTACTGTACGATTGGGCGATTTTGAGGCCTGTACGGGTGAGATTTTGAGTACGTTCGTACGGTAGGGAGGAGGAGAGGTAGGTGTACGTATTGTAACTGTTACAGCTCACGTGATCTGTACAAGTAGTACAATTTAATTAAAGTACGTTGTACTCTAGTTAAAACAGCTAATATTATAGGTCTCTAGAGACGCAGGATTAAGGTCTAAATAGCTATTAAATAACTAACTAGAAGCGTTAAATCTGCACTATAAGCCTATACCTTTAACAGCGTATAATTGCCTTATAACATAGTCTTGTTCTTTACGCAGTAACCTAATTGCGCTAAGGGCAACGCCTCTTTTAAGCCTAACAGCTATATATTATTCTAGTTAATTATAAACTTAACCTTAGTGTTATAATTGCAGTCCTTTAGGAACTACTGCAACTAATTTTTAGCCACAGACAGTGTACTATCGCGGGATAAGGCAGGAGACGTAGTGTAGAGGGCTCTTTCTGCAGCGTGCAAGACTGCGCTAAATTTGCAACAGAGGTATCTAATTAACTAGATAAGACCTGTAAGGCAGCAAGGCGCGTAGATAGATAACTCTGCAATAGAAAATAGTTAGTAATAGGCATTTTTAAGACAACAGATTGCAGATAGATAGATTAAAAGATGTTGTCCTTGCGAAACTTTTAGCTAATTAGAGCTCTAGAAACCCTCCTAAACGCTCCCGCAGGCCCACTGTTCGCCAGAGCCCCCCTACTCCTCCAAAATCGCCATACAAACTTCCTAAAAGGGTAATACGGTCCGTACTACGTACCGTACCTAGGGCATCATTAAACGTACAGTACGGCTCACAAACTCGGTACGTTCGTACTGCTCACGTGACCGTTACGGTTCACTTTGTACAGACCGTAGTACGGCCCGTTGGAAGCCCTGGGCGAGATTTCAAACCACTCTTGGAGCTAGAGAATTAATTCAAAGCACGACTAGCCAGATTTAGAGGGGATGAGCATCCATAGGAGGTATTCCGTCTGGTCAGTCGAGTGACTGGAAATGAGGCTTAGGCACCCTGACGCCGCTGGGGTGGACAGGACCCCTTTTGACGTTTGAAAGATCCTGCGGTGGGTTAAGTCGAGGCCTGAGGATTTCTCTCAACAATGGATAATCCTTTCTAGATGGGGATGGACTAAGAATCATCTGGCCACATGGAGAGCTGGGAACAGAGACAGAGCCCCAAGAGACCCACAGTTCGGCGAGCGGAGAATCTAGGGGAGTGATAGTATCGGGAGCCTCACTCGATTTATCGACCTCGGTGAAGGGAGGAAGTTTGCAAAGAAGCAAAGACATTGTGGATCTGCGGGCATCTGTGATGAACTTCTGTCCTGGGAAATAGCTTTGAGATCTGTGGTCCATCTAGTATTTGAGTTTTGAACCTCCCTTGTATTCGTTTTCTACAGGTCGCTCTTGCTTTCATACCTGGAGTATCGGGGTTGAAGATTGTACTTCCTTGCCAGATTTCCTTCATTGGTGCCCATTGAAAACTGCGCTTTACCCTCTCATCAATCATTTCTTCAGAATATAACCATGGACAAGCCCAAAGAACCCCCTGCCAACGCCAATGAAACCGAGACCTACTCCGAGCGAGCCATCACGATATCAGTATGTGCTTTGGTAGCGGCAACTGCTGTCCTGCGATACCTGGGCCGGTGGAGCCTAAAGAAACGCGTGGATATTGGAAAGGGGAAAGGGCAACAAGTATTCGGAATGGACGACAGTAAGTTCAAGCTCGCAGCATTGGGGTCGGCTAACGTGAAGAAAGTATTTAATGTACTAGCCGTTTTGACATTCTACGGTCTCGCTATTGCTGTCTTTATTGCCATCGACCGCGGAACGGGGGTACATATCGGAGTCGTCCTGTTCAAGAGTGGCCTCCAGGGACTCAGCGACTACATCCAGGCAAGTGTTTCATAAATTCTATTCCAATAATCTTTATTTGAGAGAGAGAGGTTCTATTTGTTTAAGCCCACAGTCTCCCTTGTTGGTTGAAATATGAAACGAGTTTATTGACGCCAATCAGGCCGTCTTTGTCTGCGCTATCTTCTACAACACCACACTCGGCATGATTAAACTCAGCGTGCTTTCGTTGTACCATCGCATTCTTCGAGGATTCCAATCCCAAAATGCTCCGAACTATCATCTGGACTGTTTTCGGCATCGTGGCCGCTAACACGACGGCCAACGTGCTCGTCGCTCTATTCCAATGCTGGCCCGTCAAGGCTGCGTGGGATCTGAGGATATTGCCAGAAGATAAGAAGTAAGTCGATAAATTCCAATAGCCTAGCTATAAGGATGCCCTTACTGACATGGGTAGATGTATCGATGTGAATGCGTTCTATCTAGGTAACGCTATTACTGGAGTGATTACAGACGCAACCGTCTATCTCCTTTCCGTCCCCATCATTAAGCCTCTTCAAATGGATACCAAGGCCAAAATCCAGCTCTTAGCTACGATGCTTATCGGCGGCTTGTAAGCACCCCAAGTAAATCACTGTATAACACGAACTCACCTAGCAATCAGCGCAGTCGTAACCTCCGCCGTTCGCCTCGGCTTCATCCCCGCCCTACTCTCCGACCCTGGCGCCACAATGGCTATGGGCATACCCATGGATTGGTCTATTGCCGAGCCTGTCGTGGGGGTTCTCGTCTCTAGTATGCCTGCAATTCGCGCCATTCGCTGCCTCTGGCGTGATCCAAATCAAGACTCGTATGGCTCTGGTCCCGGCCATTCTACCCTGAAGAGTAGGAATGGCGGCCATATTCAGCTGCATGATATTAACACCAGCGGAACGACGAAGAGAGATGCAGAGGGTTCAGGCGGAAGAGCACGCGGTGGCGATAATGATAGCGAGGAGCACCTCGTTATCGGGAGCTATGGCTACAACAAGGGAATGGGAACGATTGAGAGAAAGACCGAGTTAGAGGTTTTGTATAGTCCGAAGTAAGGCGTGGCCGTCCATGCGAAACGTGAAACCGGCGTTCATACGATGAATTTGTAATAGAGGCAGAAGGAGCGCGGGTACGTAGAAATGCTGCCAGGGCGTGGCTCAACTCAGATGTTAAGGGGATATATTCTTGACTTTCCTTTACGAAGTTGTGGAAATAGAGATCAAGAATGATAACTTCCATTTGTTTGGTTTAGTGACCCCCTAGATTCAAAACTCCTTACAGTACTGCACAATTCCCCTTGTAGCCTTTATTGCTAACTACTAAACATGTTGTTTTATACTAATTTTAGGCCTGGAAAACGGTAACTTGAGAAGTACATTGCAATACTCACCTGTGAAGAAGATTTGGTAGTAAGGCAGTTGTAGATCTAGAATCACAGCCTTAGCTTAACACGCAGGGTGGGTTCTTTAGCTACTTAATCTAGTATGCTTTTTACTATTAAACCTTAAGTACTTAAGCGTATATAAAACTTAGCACACTAATTAGCAGAGCTTGCTCTGCTCCTTTCTGTGGACTTTAGTTTTCTTTAGTTAGGGCTTAGCAGCTAAGAATTACTGCTTTTAGCCTTTTTAGGCTTACATAAGCATAAAAATAGTAGATTCTTAGATAATTATTTTCTACATAAAAACTAAAACCTTACTGCGCGTGTTGTCTAATACTTGTCTAATACCTTTTGCTATAACTTATAACATAGTACCTCTGCTATTTAACGCTAATAAACTTCCCCTACTTTACAATAATTGTGGAGGATAAAATAGCCTGGCAGTAGCTGTTTAGAAGATCGGATGAAGTGACTCCGCTATCTAAGAGAGCTGAAGGCTCTCCTTATATACACCGAGCTTCGGAACATAATATCTCCAGATCCCGAGCTGCGTCCCAGGCTCTGAGCCCCCAGTCCCAGGCTCCGAGCCCCAGTCCCAGGCTCTGAGCCCCAGCCAAGGCTCTCAGTATACGCGACACACCCCCCAGGTGAGCTGCGCAGCAGCTCACCTGCGTTGAGCGTCAACTTGGCTTGTTGGAGCAGCGCTGCGCGTTTACCCTGTGTTTGTGCTCGTTGCCCCAGGCAGCGTGATGCTCGTTTCCCTAGGCAGCGCAGGTCACGTGCGTGCCGTGATCGCCGCAACAGAGGTAAATAAATTCTGCTGCTCCTTAAGCTTCTCTTCTGTAAGTCCTAACAACATGCCGCGTGTAAGTTAATGCTTTTAAGAGCTCTAAGAACAACTTTAAACCTGTCTGTGATCTCTGCTAATGTGCATCTGTAGCTTAACAAAGCTAAAAGAGCCGCCCGCTCGCGTGCCGCCGCTCTGCGGGGCCGCGCTGCCCGCAAGCCCGCGCCCAGTACCCCCCGCCGGCGCCCGCTCCCCGGCCCGGCCTCGACTCCCCGCCGGCCTCCCCCTGGTGCGCTCCGCGTGCAGTCCTGTCTGGGCTGCATAAAGAGTGCGCTCGCGGGGCGCTCCAGTGGGGAGTGCCATGATTCCGCCACTGGCGGTTCGCGCTGCTGGCGCTGTTCCTCTGGGCACAGCTGCCTGCCCCTGTAAGCCCTGTAGCAGTGTGTGGGGTGATCTAGCTTTTGACCTATTTGCAGTCCCCCTGTCGCCGTCGTGTATGCGCGGCGCCTTGTTGCGGCGCTTGTCGCGGAGGACGAGCGGGTAAGCTTCTCTGCAGAGATCGTGTGTTATACCCTAGATTAGACTAACAGGCTATAGGCTGCGTCTTAGCTTTAGCTAGTTCTTTAAGCTCTGCTTAAAGAGGATGTGGTGGAGGAGGAGGAGGGAGAGGAGGAGGAGGAGGAGGAGGAAGAGGAAGAGGAAGAGGAGGTGGAGGAGGAGGAGGGGGAGGAGGAGCAGGGTGACGTGTCCCCTGGGCTCCTGGCGCGTCGCCAGCGCGCTAAGGAGCTCTTGGGTGAGCTTGTTAATCTCCTTATAGTTTAGGTGTTCTGTGTTTCTGCGCATCTTATGTACTAAATCCCTGCTTAAACTCCATAGCATAGGGGGGTGTCCCTGCTAGTAGATAGCCCTCTTGTTCCTAGGCAGTGTGGGGATGTCCCTACTATTAATAATTAACAATTTTTTCTCTTAGAAGCTTATTTATGTGTCTTTAAGGTTAAAAAGCTACTTAAAGTGCTTAAATTACTATTTTAGTAGGTGCTTTATAAGTTTATTTGCTAGCATGTTGCTTGTTTTAATATAGCGCACTTTAAAAGATCCCTTTACGTGCTCCTAGCGCAGCCACATGTTCTAAATATTAATGTGGCGCAGGCAGGTAGTTATCTAGGCGTTCTCCTCTACTACTAACCTAATTGTCTGCTAGTTGTTACAGTAGATCTGCCATAGTGTGCCTAGCTCTAGGGTAAGCTCTTTAAAGAAGCGTTTTAGAGCTAGTAATTTCTTTATAATGTGCGCTAAAGCAAGCAGCTTAGCTTTTGTTATAGACATAGTTACTGTTAGCTAGAGAGCTACTTTCTATAGAATTAGTTCTTTAAAAAGTAAGATAATGTATTTATAGAATAATTATCTAGTCTCTGTGTAATTAGTAAAAGACGTGTCTTTACACATAATAAGTTGCGCGCCTTCTAGTGCTTTATACTATATGCCTATATACCTTATGCAGTACAGGTACATAATTGCCTAGTTTACTGCCTAGAAGTGCTGCTTTCCTAGGTTTATTAGGTAGTAGAAGAGCTAGGATGCCGCAAACGCCATGTCTAGGCGCACTATAATTATAGTGTATAGTGTTAATTCTACGCGCTCTTAGTATTCCTTAATTTCCTACTTTATTACTAATCCCTAGTTGCTTATAAGCTCTTCTAACAGTAAAGAAGTCCCTAGGAAGAGCGCGCTTTTTATAAGGTTAAACTTCTTTACTACTTTCTTAATATATGTGTTGTGTACTAGCTAGATTATTCTAGCTTTTCTATTTTTAATTATTTTAATTCTTAGAAACTATTTGCACAGCCTTTAATTTTCTAGCTTATATATTTTTTTAATTACACTAATTAATTAGTAAGCTTCTAACTTATTATTATAGTAATAAATATAAAGTATGTTATCTACATAAAAAAAAAGTAAAATATAGTAATTATAGTTAAAGAATAGGCACAGCTTCTTTTTAAATAAAATAAAGTTAAGCTTCTAAAAAGCCTATAAGAGCTTCTAGTACTACAAGATTAGTAAGTCGCGTAGTCTGTATAGGGCTTAGAGAAGCTTAACGCACATGCTAGGCTTTATAAAGCTTTCTAGAAGCTTGCATGTTACTTCTAGCTTACCTTTACAGTGCGCGTTTAGGAACGCGCCTATAACATTATATTACCTAATCTTTAGGTTAAATTAAGCTGCTATTGCTATTGCTGTTTAGAAGGATCTAGCTGCAAGAGTAGCAGCATAGGTTAACTAGAGTGAGTCCTTACTCTAGAGATTACTGCGTACGCATATGTAAGCTTTGCATTTAGCAAAATACTTATCCTAGTTAAATTTATATGTAAAGACCTACTTTAGTAGGAGCAGCTTAGATGTTACTTTAGTTTACATAATTTTTTTCTAAGTGCTTTTTTTAAGTAGGGTAGCTATTTTTTTCTATGCTGTAATCTTAAAAAGATCTTTATATAAGTGTTTATATAGATTTCTTTATTTTAAGGGTTTTTTTAAAAGCTTATAAGCTCTTAGTTAAGGCTACCTAAAGAAGGCAGCTATAAAAAACACTGCGTAGAGTGTTTTAAGCGCTCTGTTATTGTAAGTAATAAATGCTTTAAGAAAGTTTATTTAGAGGTGCTCTAGATTAACTAGAGCTAGGCGTATACTGCTCCTCTCTAAGAGCGTTGTATATATACCTCTGCTTTCTACACCCCTAGGCTTACCTAAGTTATTAGAATCTTACCTTTATATTCTTTAGCTTATGTGTGTGGCTAGTCTCTAGCTTTTTTTATTACATGTATGTTTAAAAGGTGCCTTACCTGCTTTAACTAAAGCTATAAAAGATAATATCCTAGTATAAGAAGTAGAGGTTAATTTTTTAACTAGTAAGTTAGCTATTTAACTTAATAAGCCTAGTAGATCTGCTTCTCTAGTTAAGTGCACTTACTAGGGATTACTAGTATGCTTGTGCCTACTTTGTATAGGGCGTGTTGTAGAGCTATCTGTAAGCTCTAGCTTAGGAGTTAGCTCTAAAGTAATAAGTGCTATATATTTATTAGAAACTGCGCAAATCTTTAGTAACTTACTTATTATGCTTATTACCTACACAGTTACTTTTACCTCTAAGTACTAATCCTCTAGCTAGCTAACTTAAGTTCTAATAAGCTTTTTAGTTTCTACACTTCTAAGCTTACGCTCTTAGGGCCTTTAATTTAGTATATTACTTTACTACTTATTTAACTTTTAAGGTAAAAGCTTAAAAGCTTCTTCTACATTATAAATCTTACTTTACTTATTAAGAATTTTAATAATTTTAAAAGCTTTTTTTTAGAGGATTAGCTTGTTACTTTTATTCTTATAAAAGTGTGTTTTATTAAAAGCTATATTTTTTATAGTAATTACTTAGTTAAGTAATAAGACCTATATTCTGTAGATATTTAAGGCTCTATAGCCTACAAGATATTCTATGTAGCCCTGTAGAGTTACTTTAAAGCTTTGCTTCTAACGCCTAGCTGCTTGCTTCCTATTAAGTAGGTAGGCGCAACAGCTATATGCGTAGATCCTGCTTTAATTAGGTCTTAGATTAGCTATAGCACTTCTTACCTACTCTAGCTTATAGTATCTAAAGTAGTTAGTAAACTATGTGTTTAAGACTTTATTTAGTAAGCGTAGGTTATATGCGTGCAACAGGCTTATATTGTACAGCTATGTCGCTGCGTCTACTACTTCTAGCTAGAGCTTCTTAGGGAGTCCTGCGCTGCTTCTTATTTTAATAAACTTTATAATTATCTTTTATCTAGCTTTTTCTGCAGCTTTATTTAGCTTATAAGTATATAGTAAAGAGCTTTTAATATTAATGCTAAATTCCTTTACTTAAAGCTTATACCTTAACTTCTTATGCTAAGGGAGCGTAGTAGTGTTATTGTCTTACTGTATTTTGCTAATCTAGAGCTTATATTAATTAGACACTATGCTTTTAAAGTTTTTTATTACTCTCTAGATTTCTAAGAGTGTTTTTGCTTAAAGAGAGTATAAAAAAATTTTGCTGCTATATTTATTTTTAATAATTATTATCTATAGAGCTCTGCTGCGCCCTAGTAGCATATTAAACATGTTCTATACAATTCTCTAGAATAGGTAAGAAGCTTGCTTTTTTAGTCTTCTTAATATAACCTGCTTAGCGTGTGTTGTTGCGCAGTGCTTACAGTGTACTTGCTTTATACCTATTATTTGTACGTTCTTTGCGCTTTTAACTAGAGCCTGCAGAGCTTTAGAGCCTAGGTGTCCTGCGCGTGCATGCTAGAGCTCTTCTAAGTCTAAGTGTAGGAATGTAGTCTATAAGTGTTAGTAATCTAGGAGCACACTCTGCACTAGTAGGTAGAAAGAGACAGCTTTATATTTAATAAACATAAAGTTATGTTCTTAGTAGAGTGTTATAAGTACCTTATTTTTTTCTAGCGTGCCTATGCGCAGTGTACAGTTAAGTTTTAAATACTATAGTCCTTTTTCTCTTAAATAAGCTTCTAAGATAATATTAATGTAAAATCCTTTTACTATAACTACTTCTTATAGTATAAGATCTTCTATGTGCTCTTTCTATGCTTTATTTAACACCTTTTTAAGCTTTCTAGTTCTTGTTCCCTAGATTAGAAACAACTAGGTGCTAGCTTTTACTGTGTGTAAACTTTAAGCTTTTTTAAATAACCTAGGTACAAGCAGCTTTATACTGTTTACTAAGTGCGTAGCACTCTTATTATCTAGAATTATGCTTATAGAGAGTAGGTAAGTGTTAAAATCTATAGTTATGTGCATCTCTAGTTTTACTAAAAGCGCTAGGTTAATAAGTGCAGTAATAATGCTTTTTAAAAATGCTAGCTTATCTAATCCTTTAATAGCTTTTAAAGCAGGGGAGGCTGCGTCTAGAATTATATAGCCTTTTTTAAGCAGTACAGCCTTTACTTCCTTATGCTGCGCCTACTTAAGCTTTTTAAAAATCTTTTAATGTGTAGTTTTACTAAGCTTCTTTAGCTTTTTAGTAACTGCTAATATAAAGTCTCTGCAGTCTACTGCTTTTTATAGATAAAGGGATTACTCTAGAGCTCTGCATAGGCACAGGTGGCCTAATTAGGCTAAAATAGATTAGGCTAAATTATTATTTAATTATCTGCTAAGTGTTGTAAATATACTTATGCCTTAGTTACTTACGCGTAGAGAGTGCTTTTAGAGCATTGTTAAGAAGATCTTACTAATTTTCTAAATTATTAGAGGTTCCTTACTAAGTGCGCTAGCCTCTATAACCCTCTAGTGCATAGAGCGCGCCTAGTCTAGTGCAAGCTTTAGAGCTAGGGCGTCTAGGAAGTCTTGTGCGGCTAGCTAGCCTTCCACGTTAAGAATCTTGTAGGTCTTTGCCTTAGTGTACAGGAAGTGCTACTGCTAGTACTAAGCTTCTAGAGTTATAGTGCTATACTTTACCTTAGTAAGGTAAGCTCTGTACTCTACTTATATAAAATTCTTTATGCTTACGTTTGTTAGTGCTAGCTCTTGTTTTAAGGCTTGTATAAGTGCCTGTAAGGTAGATTAGTTCTCTA